CATCAACTGATCATGTGATGGGAAAGAAAATCCCTTAACCTGCCTGTGCTCCAGTTTTTTGTTTGCAAAACAAGAGGGGTTACAGAGTCAGAGAAGAGTTCAATCTGCCTGACCACGTCCACCTTAGAGCACACCCGGCAGATGGTCATCCAGCTTTAGCTTGAAGACCCCACACGAGGGGGAACTCGGAATCCTGAGGCTGCCCATTTCACTTGAGGACAGAGTGTGCTTGGAAGCTCTTCCTTATGTTGGATTAGATGATTTCTTTCTTTCTTTCTCTTTTTTTCTCTTTCTCTTTCTTTCTTTCTTTCTTTCTTTCTTTCTTTCTTTCTTTCTTTCTTTCTTTCTTTCTTTCTTTCTTTCTTTCTTTCTTTCTTTCTTTCTTGGGGTTCAGTGACTTGCCCAGGGTCACACAGCTAGTGAGTGTTATATGTCTGAGGCCAGATTTGAAGTCAGGTCCTCCTGACTATGCACTGCGTTGCCTAGCTGCCCCTTGGATTAGATGATTTCTAAGGTAGCTATAAAAAAAGCGTGATTCTATTCCTGAATTTTCAGCTGTCTGTTGGGCGTTTCTACTTGGATAGGCAACATTTCCCTTAAACTCAACATGTCAAAAGCTCAACATATCGTCTTTTCTATAAAGCCAGATCATTCTCCTCCTGATCTTTTTTTTTATCCTTTTGACAGTAACATCATACTCTTATAGTCACTTTTTACTCCTTTCACTCCCAACAGTATCTGTGTACTTACTACTAGGTGGTACAGTGCAGAGAGCACTAGGCCTAGAGCCAGGAAGACCTGAATTCAAATCTGCCCTCAGATACTGACTGGCTGTGTGACTCTGGGCAAATCACTTAACCTCTGACTCAGTTCCCTCAGCTGTAAAACTGAATAATAATAGCACTTACCACATCCCAGGGTTATTTTGCAGATAAAACATTTCTAAAGTGCTTTGCAATCCTTAAAGCACTATGAGTTAATGCTAACTAGCTTTACTAAGACCTGTCACTTCTTCCTCTACATTTCTTGCATCTGACCTTCCCTCTCATGGTATCCCTCTGCCCCCTTAGCTCAGGCCCTATCTTGTGTTAATGATCACTTTTTTCTATTTTTTTTTGTTTTAAGGCAATTGGGGTTCAGTGACTTGCCCAGGGTCACACAGCTAGTAAGTGTCAAGTGTTTGGTCTGAGGCCAGATTTGAACTCAGGTCCTCTTGACTTCAGGGCCAGTGCGCTATCCACTGCACCACCTAGCCACCCCATGTTCACTTTTTCTCATGGAAACAAAAGGCATGCATGATGGTTAAGACTAGCCCGACAACAACGTCTATTTGCTTACAAAGCAGAAACTGGAAGTCAATGGAGAGGAGAAAATGGGGATACTAGGAGGGGAAATGAGAACTCAGCGGGAGAATTTAATGATCAGCTGCCCTGGCAGTAGAAGTCCTTCCCAATCTGGCTCTCCCCCACTCTCACAAATTCCAAGTTCCAGGACACTTGGCTTCCTTGACGTTCCTGTAGGTTAGCCCGGGCTGCCCTCCCCCCGTGGGGGGGCTTCTCTCAAAGTGGCTCCCCAGCTTTCCCAGCAGTGCCCTTGGAGGCTTCTGCCAATTCCCCCGTTTCCTCATCTTGTTTTGTATCTTTTGTGTTATCTGCAATGGATTTGCTTTTCTATGCTAGTATTTAGCAAAGTGAGTATTGCATACATAGGAGGTGCTTAATAAATGAGCTGACTCAATCCAAGTGAAGACCTTTGGTGTTCATATTATAGATGCTGGAAGCCACTTCATGTGCTTACGGCCAGAACCCCCTGGGAAGAATGTCCATCCTAACCGGGGCCCTGCGGCCCTGGCATGGCCCAGTTTGGGGGGGGAGTTTTGTGGGGTTCACTACAGCCTTTGGTGTACTAGCAGTTGTGGTCATTCCTTGGCCATGGATCGGACCAGATCCCCTGAGCCTTTCTTTAATCTTTTCCCTGAGACAGGGAGAAAAGCCAATGAGAAAGAACGGCAGGCTGCCCTAAAAGTGGCGGAAGACTTCATTTCCAGGATGCGATATGCCCCCAATACCCAGGTGAGGCCCCCTCATCATCCCCTCTGGTCATGGCTCCACCCCTAGGGCTCACACCTAGATGATCTCCCTTTCAGGTTTGGAATGGTCAGAGTTCCCTTAACGCAGATTAACTGAGTGGGAAGGCCGGTCTCAATTGGTGAAAAAATCTAAACTACGGAATATTTTTACACAAGTTACAGTTTTATTATTTAAGCACACAAAATGCTAACAAAGTCATTCCTAGCAGTGAGGAACAAACCAGGGAGGTCTACTTTAACGAGCAAAAGGCTTCATTTGCAAATTTCCACCTACTAAGTGATGTTTTTAGAAGCACATTCTCTAAATTACACTCTCCCCCAAGCTTACGGATGGTATTTCTTGGCTCAGCACACTTTCATCACAGAGGACAGAAGTCAGCCTCAGGACAGTCTATTAAACCTAGGTTTTATGATTGTCTCTGGAGGGCCGGTCCTGCTAGGGAATGGCAAGGGGGGAAGAGGGCGTGTTCGGCTTTTTTAAAGACCTTCAGATACTAGAAGTACTGCTGTAAACACACACATACACATTTTCACTGTTTTTGCAGGTGGAGATTCTGCCCCAGGGTCGGGAAAGCCCCATCTTCAAGCAATTTTTCAAGAACTGGAAATGAGCATTCCTGCTTTCTGCCCTTCTCCCTTGTTCCCATAGCCCTTCAAGCACAGATTATACTGTGGTTTATACTTTGCCCTGCCATGGCTGGCCAATGGTTACCCTGTGCCCCTTGGCCTCCGTGCCTTCCCGCTTCATCTCCAGCCCTTTGTGCTTGGTCATCTCGGAGTTAATTAAAAGAAATGAACCGGCCCCACTCCCCCGTTCCTTGGTGTCGGACCAATCCTGACGCTGGTCCTTGCTGTACTTCCTTCTCTGCTAAGTGTGTCAGGGTGGAACATGAGCTTGAGAACTAGGGGAAGGAGGCAGGGAACACGCCCAGGCCTGGAGTCTGGCTTCTGGCACAGGCCTGTCTCTGGCTGCAAGCCTGAGGACCAGCCTGGGGAGGGGGCTCTGTCACTCCTCTGCCCTGGGCCACCCGGAGAATACAAGAGGGACTGCTAATGGCTGTGGAATGGCAGGCAGTCTCTCGGAATTTGGTACCATTTTCAGAGAGGGAATTAGTTTCGTTTCCCAAGTGAGATAATCCTGTGGCAAGTAGGACGCGTCCCACATGGATTATCTCTTAGTAGATCATTGGTCATACGTGCAATTTCATCATAAACCAATGACCTGGTTTTCAAGTGTGTCCTACAGCACTGAGTCTCCTTACCCAAGAATCACATCTTCTAAGTATTCTGGGAAGAGAAAGCTGGATGAAGGAACAAAGACATGGGTTCCAGTTTTGGCCTCGCCTTTAACCAGCTTAGAAACTGTGGGCGAGTTTCAACTTGTCTCCATTTCTTCACCTCTGATGAAGGGGGTGGATGAGGTGGTCTCCAAGTTCTCTCCTAGCTTTAGGATTCCACGTCTCAAATGTGTTTATAGCATGTTTACAGCATGACATAGAGAAGTGGGGGTGAGAACGGCACCCCTGAAATAGGCAGCAACAGAGCCCAGGGGTGACATGAAACAGAAAAAGGCTACATTCAATAGGGCCACCTTTCCACTTGAATTACTCCAGGCCAAACTGCCATCTCTGGGCTGGTACAGTTAGCTGGAGGCTTAGCCGGACAGCTAGAGGCCAGCATCTGGAAGATTCATACAGGAACTTTCTGTAACCTGAGAACTGTTACTGATTGTTTGATCTGGCTGTAAATATGAGGTGACCTCAGGAACTCTTCACTGTTACTCCTGACTTGTCACCAAAGTGAATGAATGAAAAGGCATTTATTAAGTGTTCCCAATGTGCCAAGCACTGTGCTAAGCACTAAGGATACAAATACAAAAGAACCATGCCTGCCAGCCAGGGGCTTCCACTCTAACTCCTATGAGAGAGGGTAGACAGACGGGGAAGGCACTTTGGTCCAGAACATTTCAGGAAGTGAAGGGGGCCCCATGGAAACAGATCATGGTCTCCGAGAGCAGCACATGGCTTTTCAGAGGCAAAATAAAAACCACATACTACTCTTAAAATTAAGTACAGAATACCATTTTTCTCCAAGCTTCTCCAATCTCTACACTCCTGAGTAAACCCTCTGTTGTCCTAGCTGGTCTGGTAAGGCCCTAGACAGTGAGAATTAGAGGAGATAAACAAGAAATTAGTCCTTAAAACCAGTTCATATCAGCCTGGAGCAAGTTCCAGGGTGGACTAAAGTTCCTGTTTGGAAGGCAAAGACGGCATCAGGGCAGTTTTTAACTGCTGGAATTTGTGTGCTCGGACTTTCCTTTCCTAGAGAGGTTGGTGGGAGTTGAGGGGGAGGCTTATGTTCTGGAGGAGTAGAGGCCTGGGCTATAAGAGACAGTGGCTTAAGGAGGTGGAGGGGAGAAGGGGAAACCTTAAGACCAACCTAGCGTGGGGCTGAACCAGCCAATCCTCACCTGGTTGTGGGCCTACCGCTCTGCATGCCTGAGCATGACAAGTGATCTCAATGGCAACTGGGGTAAAAGTCAGTCAGAGGACAACACGGAGTAATTCTTAACCCTTCCTGCAGGAGAGCCTGGGTTTCCATTTTCTCCCTGCACAGTTCCTGGCTCCCCTACTTTAATTGAGGGTGTTTCTGGGGCCTTTGGGGTTGTGGATGGCTGGCTGGGCTCCATGTGACTCAATAACTCATGTTTGACCAGGGCAAAAGGCAAACTCGTCCCTTACGCAAGACCCTTACAGACCATAGCTACAAAGAGCAATGTACCACGTAACCTACTAGCAAGGTACACAACAGCTTCCTCAGTTCCGAGCCCCTCTTCTGTGCGGCTGCTGCTTCTAATTCGAATATGTTTAGAAAATTAATGGAAGGAAAATAAAAATTCTGTGAGATCCTAAAACTTAGACAATCTTTTTTTATTTGAAAACTGTTTGTGTGAACTCTGGTCCTTCCCCTGCCTGACCATTTGTAGCCCCATCTCTGAATCCCGAAGGTGGCAGGTATGGGGTGGCGCACAGGGGCAGGGGCGTTGGCCTGGAGGAGCCACTCAGTTCTGACAGACAGAGGAGCAGAAGGTGCCCTAAGGCAAGCCTCCCTCGGGCCAGGCTTCTGCTGACTGGTGCTGTTTCCTGGGGTGGCTGCTATTACTACCTTTTTTCTTCTCTTCTTCTAGCCTGCTTCTCTTCAGGCTCAAACTAATTTTGCTCCTAATCAATGAGAGCCTGAAAGGCTCTTATGCCCAGGGAATGAGTCTTCCGTTAGTCTGTTCTTCATCATAAGTTCATGTCTCTTACCTCAATTCTCCCCATCCTTCACACAAATATTCTGCAAAGCGAAAGCTTAAAACCACCCATCATCTCTGCCGAATTTTGAAGCAGGAGCCATGCAGTACTAACTGATTGGGTATACAAACTCCATGGAGTGGGGCCATTTCTAAGTTAGGATGCCTGTGCATCCCATGGATCTGACCCACAGCCAGGATTCTCCCACCAAAAGCTATACGTCACCAATAGAGCAGAGGGCTGAGCAGGCCTACCCAAGCTATTCCTAGGTGATGGCCCGCATGGGCTCCTCAGGATCTCCAATCTCTGGTATCCGAATCTTGGGGCTTCTCGAGTCAAACAGCCTGCACTCTCTCTGTTGTGTCTAGCTGTAGGTCGCATACTCCTGTGAAGGTGAGGTTCTTGGGGTGGGTGTCCTGTGATCCAGAGACATTCTGTGCTCCTGACAACCCCATCCGAGACAGCCTTTTGGTCCCTTTGGTCAAGTAGGTGTCCAGGCTCCTGAGCAGCTGTTTTGGATTCTTTTTGGCCAGTATTTCCAGGTCTGGAATGGATAAGGGTGGAGAGACCCTTTTATCCAATCCAGATAAAAGGATCTATCTGACAGCTCTTTCACCTGGGATAAGCCTTTAGGCTGGCCCATGCAGCCAGAAAGCCCAGGACCCTGAAGGTAATAGCTTTGGGAAATATTCCTGGACTCTGGAAGCTCTGGGTGTTCCATATGAGGAAGCTTCAAGAGAAGACAGCAGAAAGGTCTTTTCAAAGGTACCAAATCCAGAACAAGGTATGAGAGCAGTACTAGGGCATGTTGGGAACCAAGAGAAACTCGAAAGGTGGGGTATAGACAGTGAAGAAGCTCAAAACAGTGGCAAAAGAAAAAGAAAGCAGGTCTACAAGACACACCAGTCATAAAGGAAGTCTGACACAGAACTGGTGTAAAGGCAGAGAAAGACTAGACATCTTACAGACCCTACAGCTGAAGGAACAGGTCTTGAGGATTCTAAGGTTCCCCTGGGGGAAGAAGGAGGCTCCGCCTGGTCTGGTCCATACCTTTAAGAACAAAGCTGGAGTCTAGAATGGTTTTCTGCTGTGTCCTCCAGATGTAGGCAAGGCGGAGGAAGGTGGCTGCATACAGGTTATTCACAACAGGGATCACCGTGTGCTGCCGATTACATTCCCTACACAGCAGTGAAGGAGAATGGGAGTGACTGACTTAAAAGTTCAGCAAGTCATTCTTCTATTCCCTACTAACACAAGGGAAAACCTCCAGCCCCGCCGTTCTTCCCATCCTACGTCTACATCTCACCTACTGTTCGTTGGTCAAAACAGCCACAAACAGAGGCCATTTTCTGATGGTTCCCAGGTTGTGTGTGGCATGGGTTAATGCCACTTACTTTCTCTAGCAAAGTGGTGCCTAAAATGGACTGACTCACACTAAAGAAAGGCTCCACTCAGCAGCAGTGCTGAGCAGCGTCCACCACAGATCACATGCCGTAAGTGGCTAGTTACGGCACTGGAGGGGGATAAGGGATGATCTTGCCAACTGGTCTTCCAACGTGCCAAGCCTCCTCGAGCCAGCTAATCTTCCACGAGAGCAGCCTGGGGACTCACCTGGAGAGACACTCTTCTCGAAGGGCCTGGATCACTATTCGAGTGATGTTTACCGACATCACGCAGAAGGGAAAGTGCTGGAATAGAAATGACATCAAGTCAGGGCAGCACTAGCTCTTCGCTACCTTTTCCCTCAATTTCTACATTCTAGAACAGCTCTGGGGCCATCATCCCACCCCCACCTCCATGAGCTCCACCTCGTTAGGGTGGAACCTGAACCCAACGTCCAGCCACACTCCCTGTGTGTCGCCCCATGCCCCTAAAGATGAGGGGGCACTGTGAGGGTCGATTCCCAAATATTCAGCAACGGACTCTGAAGAGGCGGCTCAGGGCCTTAGATCCTCTCTTCTCCACTCTTGGTCTCTGGCTATTTCACTGTGAAGTAGTCCCTCCACCCAAAGGTTGGCAGAGAAAATAAAAGGTAATGAGGGATCACTTCTTGTGGTTAGCACTATCTGTTACTGCCAACCATCAAGAATAGGCTGAACTCCTTTTCAAATATGTCACAAGCATATGGTTAAGCAAGACACTGAGGTGGCCAAATGGATTCCATGGGATACTGGGCTAGGAATCAGGAGGCCTAGAGTCTAACCTCAAATCAATTATTGACCAACTCTATGACAAGTCATGTCAAGTTTCTAAGTCTGTTTCCTCATCTGTGAAATGGGGATATTTACCTTACCTATCTCATTCACAGGGTTGTTGTAAGGACCTAATGAGATAGTATGTGAAGACACTTCTAAAGCTGTAAAGTCCTATTCAAATTTATAGTAATAATATATAATATAATTTATAGTCTGTTGGGGAGAGAACATGCCCACAAGGACGTACACACAAAAAACGTGAGAGTGAATGCAAAGTAAGTGGGGGGTGGGCTTGTTGTTATCTGTCCTTTGTTCTGGAAGAGGACCGTGACATCAGGGAGGTGATACCAGGACTTGCAAGGGAGTTGGATCTAAGTGAGGGAGGGCTGTGCAAAGTACCAGCCTCACTTTCTCCTACAGAGCCATCTGGGTGGGTCCAGTGGCCAGATACAGATCAGCACGACCAGAGAAGGCCCGCTGGCAGTGGGGAGGGGGAAGGGTGGAGGTGGAGGAAGAAGACTACCGCTGAGGGAAATCTGGAAGGCTTCATGTCAACCATGGATCCTAAGAAGGGAGGCAGCGAGGAGGAATTTAAATGCCAACAAGGGGCTCTATTTTATGTTGGCAGGAACAGGAACTAGACTCTTGACAAAGAAAACTAGTACTGTGCCTTGTACACAGTTGGTGCTTAATAAAGGTCTGCTGAATTGAAGACACTAGGGTCCCTGAGTGGGGCAGTGACTCACCTGGGCTCACCAAGTCTGAAGCTGGACCATGACAGCATAAGAGGGCCCTGACCACCCCACTGAATAATGGGGACTTTCCCCTGTCATTAACATGACCCGATGTAAATGGCTTGGGCAGAGAGTGGGCTTGGGAGCTCTCAGATGCTGCTCCCGGATGTTCTGTGTGTGATCTCGGGCAATGCTTTTACTTCATATAAGATTCTCAATTTCCCCTATTAGGGTCAGAGAATAAAGATTCATACAAACAACTGAAAAGTGAAAAGGATAGGAATTCCACCATGGAACATTAATTCAGACTTATGGGAGGCCCCCATCCGGGGTTACAGTAAGGCTACTGAGGCCTGTGGCCTGCTGTGAATGCCCCCAAACCCCTCACTCGACTCAGGACTAGCCACAGTGCTAGTCAGGATAGGGGAGGATATCCACAGATACCCAGGCTAGCCGTACCTGGGTGTGGTGCTGGGAAAGCCGGAAAATTTCGTGGGCTAGCAGAAGGGTCTTTGAGTCCATCACAAGGTAGAGAAGATGCAGGAGGGCCAGGAAGCCTGCCCCTCGAAGGTCTGTGGCTGGGTTTGATCCTGCAACACAAAAGTTTGGGAGAAGTGGAGTGACCAGTGCAGTAGGAAGCGTCTTACCTGGGGGTAGAAGACTCAGGAACTCACTGATCCCCTCATACCTCCCCTACCCACCAGGTCCTGGATGACTCCCAGTGGAAGGCCCTCCTCCCCCATGCCATTCCTTGACCATTATCTTACATGGTTCTAAGAAGTTAATGGACATGGTGCAGCAAACACGGGGTCAATTCTGGTTACCCTAATTGTCTGGGAGCAGCTCCCCTGATTTTACAGACCAAGACAAAATGGGCAGATGGTTTTGATGTGTTCCTACTTGGTATCAAAGGAAAGGTCCAAAGTCCTGTACAAGTCCTTTCAATTTCGCAGTTAAAAGAAAAAAACAAATGGTTTCATTAGCCTACCCCCGCTCCCCGACAGTCACATGACTGCTGCCCTCCAGGCCCCACACTCACCACTGCACTTCCAGAGACGAGCCCCATCTCCCCTCCTATCTCACCAAGGCCTAGCAACTCCTCTCTGGCTGTGCCTCAGGGTGGGCTCTGCCGCTTCAGGCCCACAGCTGGGTGTAGAGTGGGAGACAAGAGCCCTTTTAGCTCCACACTCTCTGCTCTTCTTACCTTGAAAGCCCAGCTCCTCCCAGTGGGCTCCATACAGGGCACAGTCAAATCTGGAACCCGTGAGCTTCTTATAGATGGTCTGAAGAACACGGCTGTGCACGGGGTCTTCATGATCTAGGCTGCCTAGCTCATAAAACACAGAAGTCCCCTTTTCCTTCCTGCATGCTTCCCCCATGACAGCTCCCCAAGGAGGAGAAGAGCTCTAAGGTGGTGAGCTGACACATCCCTGATCTGAAGCCAGGCCAGGCCCGAGGCAGGCTCAAGGCCCATCTTCCTCCCACCTTCCTAACTACCCAAAAAGGCCTCCATGCTTATACCTGACAGGAGATAAAGAGGCGACCAGACCTCTCCCCCAACCCGCACCACATCTTGACAGGTGTCTGAGGGCAGGCAAAGTGGAGTAGAGAACAGGTCCCTTCCCACCACCCTGGAGAGGACAGCTACGCTACACCTGGTCCGGGCTCTATGAAGCGGTCACTTACACTGGGCAATGGCCAGGATTAAATCCCGTTCTTCCTGCAGGCCATCGTGCAGCTGGGGGGGCCCAAAGAGGCAGCGAAAGAGAGCAGAGAGCCCTCTCTGGGAAACTGCTGACCGGACCTTCTCCTGAGGAAATGAAAGAAGCAATGGGCAGAGGACATCCAAGATGCAATCAAATCCATTTACCAGCAAGCAGGGGCTCAGTGGGGTCCCGAGAGCCCCCCACAGGACTGGATCTGGGGCCAGAGAACTGGGAAAGGACTTCGAAGGCCCTTGCTGGATCTTGGGGTATGAACCCAACTAAGCCTAAGCACTTTGCAGCCAGAACTTCCCCCTCGAGCTCAGGCACCACCACATACTGCTCTGCATTTGGTACTCTTCCTGGGCTTTTCTGGAGACAGGAAGAACGACTCTCTTGACTCTTGAGACCATACTGTGACTGCTGAGGAGCATCTGTGGGAAAGACCCCACGTGGCCAGGTATGTGCTGTGTATGCTCTCCTGGCAGTCTGCTCCACGGGTTTCTCTCCTTTTGAGGCAGACAAGAACGACCCTGTAGCCTGCTCGTGCTAGCCGGGGGCACCTTAATCTTTTGGGTCATGGTCCCCCTTTGGCAGTCTGCTGAAACCTATGGACCTTGTCTCACCATCATGTTTTTAAATGCAAGAAATACATAACAGAATTACAGATGAAACCGGTTTTACTAAAATATAGTTTTATACACACACACACACACACACACACACACACAGAGTACCCACATCATGATGCACTTCCTAAGCTAAGAAACACCAGGGTCAAGTGTATCCGTGGAACAGCCTTCCACGGCCCGAGAATGCCACCCTTTCACAACTGCTGCTGGCTCTTCTCAGTGGTCGGCCGGCCCTCCTCCAGCACAGCCCCACTCCTATTCTCAAAGACTCCCTTCACTCCCTTTCTCCTGGACAAGACAAGGGTTTCTGATGTCCTCATCGCTCTAAAGGTGACCCCTGGTCACTCAGGAGACTCCTGGAAGCCTCAGCTGGTACTACCTGATTCTTTTCCTATCCCCACAGATTACATAATAATCACTCAGCTGAGTTCTTGTTCTCTCTGGGCCCACAGGCCAATTCTGTGGCAGCCACACACAGCCCTTCCCTCTGCTTGGCTGCCTTCTCTTGGTCCTGTGATGTAAACATGGAGCCTGAAGATAAGCTGGCTTACTTCAGCCTTGAACCACATCATGGCCGTACCCTGCAAATGGAAAGGTCAGCTGCCTGGAAGTGCTGGAGGGCCTCATCGAAGGAAATCAGCTGCCTGGGTGTGTCTGGGCTCTGCCAACCGCCTGCACACAAAGAAGATCCAGCTCCAGGGTGCGCGTCCTATCTCAAAGCACGCTCGTATAGCTACCTGTGGTCCAGACTCACAGCCCAGAGTCTTATCCACCCAACCTCTGCTCAACAACCCATGCGGAAAAACCCCAGAGGGCTGAGAACATGTAGGCACTGCTGGGCCATCCTCAGCCCATTCCCAGATGTAGAGACCCCTCTCATTTCCTTGTCTGATTTACCATAGCAGCCTAGACCTTAGGCCAAGGAAGAGGGACCCAAAGAAGGGGAAAATTTGAATTTGGTGTCCCCCACCCCCACCCCCATCCTGTTCATTTCAGCTAAGCAAGCTGTTAGCTGACAAGTAAGTCTTAGAGGATAAGGACTTACTTAAGTTATTATCACTTTCAAGGTAGAGTGTACAGGGCAGGGCTGGGGCTGCTCTCTCCCCCCAGGAAAGCCCTGGCTCCCTGGCTTCCCCTCTCACCTCCCAGACCTACAGCTATTTCCCAGAGGTACACCAGGAGGATAGCAGAACTGCTCGTTTACTGACTCATCCTCACAACCCTGAGGCAGGAATTGAAAATTATTCATTCTCCCCTTTGGACAGGTGAGGAGACTGAGACTTGGGAAGAGAATCTGTTCTAATTTAGTGACTTCCAACCTTTCTGAATTTGAAGAACAATTCTGTGTGGCATCTTTACTGGTATGGAATAAATCAGAAGCACAACGCTCAGTTAGCATGTGGAAGAACAGATCCTCGCCAAAAGCTTGGGAACCTTTGCTCTGAGTTGTCAAGTTACAGAGGAAAGACGAGAAGATGCAAGCAGCCTTGGCCTCGCATCTCACCGCCTCCTGTAGCCAAAGCGCACAGGGCCTAACTTCCTGCACTTACCTGCTCCTGCCTGAATGTTTTCCACGGCTTCCCATTCCTCTTGGGCTCTGAGCACCTCCACACTATCACCTGCAGCTGAGAGAAAAGGAGACCTATCAATATTGGAAGAAGCCTGAAATGTAACATCTAAATTACTGAGTAAGTCAACACTATCGCTGTATTTTAAAAGGAGGAAGGGCTCTTGGGGGGCTGCAAGGACTTCTTTAATTCACGCCCTCCCACTGCATCCAGGGCCGTGTCTAGTCATACGGATCTAAATCTGGCCACTGGACCCAGATGGCTCTGGAAGAGAGAGTGAGGTTGGTGCTGGGCACAGCCCTCTCTCACTTAAATCCAATTCACTTGCAAGGCTTGGCATCACGTTCCTGATGCCCTGGTCTTCTTTGAGAATGAAGGACAAACAAGAACAATAATTTACACCACTAGTCTGGGGTCCAACTTGTTGAGCTGACTCTCCCTATCACTGAATTAGACAGGAATTTGCTCTGCCTTTTCCCCAGCCATGTCTATGAAGGTAGCCCCCGAAAAGCCAAGACCTAGCTCAATGCTGAAAAGAATTTTCTCCCCACAACAATGGTCTGAGGCAGGCTAAAACAATTACTGCCCTTCTGCGTCCAGACGAGAGGATTGCACAACTGACTTTTTTTTTTAAAGGATGTATTTTCCGTCGTCAGTGAATAACTATGATGACAGGAACCTTTGGTCCCCTGCTCCTCAAAGTCAGGAGATACAAACATTCCCACCTAGTTCCTGAGGTGTGCAGTCCTTCTCCACTGTTGTCTGAGACACTAGAGGGCAGGAATAGCCCCAACCCTGACCCACTGAGAAAAGCAGAGAGAAATGTCAGAGGTCACAGCCCGTTAGCTCTGGCACAGTAGAGAGCAGCAGGGAATATGGTGGGACATTTCTAAACATTCAATCCCTAGGAAGTCCAATCGCCAGTTCAGGGCGTAGTTTTTGTGTAGCTGACACTGATGTAGCTAATGCTATGACATGTGTAGGTGAAACAGCTAAAGGAAAATGCTTCAAGGAAAGCAGAGAGAGGCAGGAATAAATGCTGAGGCCAAGGCTGAAAGGAACTGAGCCCCCTCCCAACTTTCATGAGTGGTCACTCGAGTAGCAAGTTAGAACCAAAATCAGAGCCCAAAGACATGTTTCTCTTCTGGAAGGAGAAGAGGTGGGAAAGAAGCAAGAGGAGCTGGGAAAGGCATTTGTGGCATTGGAATTGTCAGGAAGGCTGGTGGCTCATGTGCAAAGACCCTAAGGGCTGGATTCAAACACAGAAAGGGGAACTGAGCTGAAGTAGGATCACAGATGTCAAACTGGAAAGGACCTCAGGCATTCCAGCACAACCACCTCATTTCTCTGATGAGGAGATTGAGGTTCAGGGAGGTTCTGTGATTTGCCCAAGATCACACAGGTAGGATGTCTAAGATGCAGGATTCGAACCCAAGTCCTCTGACTCTATTCCCCTGCAAGATATTGTCTTCCCTGAGCAGCAGCTCTGAGAAGGAAGAGTAGAAGGTATCTCTTCCATCTTTTTGGGTTCTTCTTCGTATATTCAAATGTTTATGGTTGTTGATGATTGTTAAGTTCCTAATAAAAAATAAAGATCTGGGAAGTGATGAAGTCAAAAAGATGATGTCTCTGAGAGAGGGACCTGGATTTTAGGTCACAACTGAAAATACAGAAATGACGGCCTCTGGGCCAAGAGCAACTGCACCTCAGCAAAGGTTGGTAGGGATGGATTTACTTGGAGTCTTGTACCTCTGGTCAAGAGGGTTTGAGAGAGAAAAGGAGGGGAAGGGATACACTGGGTACAAGTGTGTACTGTGCAGCACACAGCAAGGCTCTTAACTGGCCCAGAAGGGACTGGACAGGGATTTTCAGGAGGTCTGTGACTTATGATGAGAAAAAAAAATCACAACCTTGTTTCCCACTAACCTCTGACTGAAACAGCATTTCCTTCCCTTCAATGGTGAATTTTCAAAAGCCCATGTTATCCAGAGAAGCCCATGACATAAAAAAGGCCAAGAGCCCTCGCCACAGAGGATGGCTAAATCAAGGAGAAAGAAGCCCCTGAGACATCCACAAGTCCACAGGAGACACTCCAAGGAAGGAGCCCCTGGTGAAGGCCACGGCCTCAGTGGACCCCCTCTAGAATGGAGCAGAGCTGGTGGACAAGAGAAGTGCACGGAAGCAGGCTAAGAGGGAAATCAGAGCTCACAGGCATACGTGCAGCATGGTGGGTCAAGCCCTGCTATATGAGCACACCCACAGAAGGAAGGGTTAGTCTTTGTAAAAGAATACAGAGGTAACTGGGTTGGAAGTAACTGGGTCAGAGGTAAATGGGTATCAGAGTACAGACTGTTGGAACAGGAGGGCACACTGTCTCAAGACCTCACCCATTCAGGGGCCCTGGGGGTGGGGGAGCATGGTAGGCACCAGAGAAGCAGAACTATGGTAAAGACACACTGCAGACCCCTCAGACAGAGGAAGCAAAGAGAAAAGCAGGCTGGGAAACAGTTAAAACCTGGCAGAGGCATGTTATGGATGGAGGGAGGTCTTCAACTGTCCAGGTATCTGAGGGCGCTCCCTCTCTGCCAAAAGTGAAGTGCTTACTAATTCCTGAACAACCTTAATGGTAATTTCATCCTTCAAAAGGTAAAGGAACTAATGAAGGGAAACCCTGAGTCTCCCTCCCACCCAAGGGAGAACACAGCTGCTGGATGGAAATGAGGGCTCTGGAAGGAAAGGGGAGGAAAAGGAAGCAGACAAGTCTGATGTACAGCAAAGACTTTGTGGGGTTCAGAGAAAGGACAGGTAGGGTCTCATGGACTAAAATTCTACAGGGGAAGTCAGGAATAGCTCAAGAATGAGATTTTAGAGAAACAATGCCCAAGGGACAGTCTTGCCAAAATGCATGTGGAATTTACCAACCAACTTAGATTTTAAGAATCTAAACTGGTGCTGAGTTCACCTGTTTGGTGAATAAAAATAATCACTTAACACTCATAAACTTTGTTGGCCCCAGGCCAGGCTTCCTACTCTATTCAACTATCCACCAGGACAAGAGGGCCTACCCACGGTGAGCACACTGCCATCAGCTTTGCTGCCACGTCTCCTTCTCCTGAACTCCCCACACCCCTAGATTTCCCAAGGCTTGTTCTGGAAACACTAATAAAATCAATGCTACCATCATGACTGGAATGGAGGTGATATTCCACTACTCCAGTTACAATCTCCCTAACTGCTGAAAACAAAAGTCCCTTCCTTAGCCACCACTCCCCTACGTGTAGTATATTCTCCCATTAGAATGTAAGTTTTCTGAGAGGGACCATCCCGTTTCTGTCCTTTGTTAAGTCCCCAGACCCTTGAACGGGGCCTACCACGTAGAAGGCAATACCTATTAAATGCTTGTTAATTAAGAAGCCACGTACAGAAGTTGGAAACAAGGGCAGATATCGAAGGATGGATACACAAACATGGCATGGTCCCACAGAAGCCCTGGGTCTAGCTCAGAATAAGCTGGGACTGGTGAAGAAAGTAAAGGACAACAGAAAGGTGGTTTTTAAAAAAATATACTGAGAACTAAAGGTGGGTCAAAGCAGCAGAAGGATCAGAGAGGACAACAGAGAGAAGGCAATGACTGATTTTTTATTTTGCTTTTGGCCAGAATGCTCTTTGGACTGAGAGGGACAGGACAAAAACTGCTAACAGAGAAGTGATTCCCAAACTCAATATGGAGAAAGTCAAAGTGCTCCCGGGTGCCCTTGACAAATTCAAGCAGAACTACATCCTTGGGGGCTGAAAAAACGAGCACGTGTGACTGCTCAGCCACTATCAGGCATCTCTGGAAGGCCACAGGGCAATCATGTAAAGAAAAACACCACCAAGAGACTTAGGAAGTCAGCAAGAGGGAATGGAAATCTTGCTTCCAGAGGACTGATAAGACACACTTACAGAGACATTGTACAAGAGACCCGGAGGGCTGCAAACGCTGCCTCGGGCTGGGGGGGGGGATTCTCTCTGCCACAAAGGAGGGCTCTAGGGTGGAGATAGGGTTACTGGAAAATGATAAAAGAGGCAAAAGCACCAAAAATATTTTTAAAAAGAAAGATTGCAGAAGAAGAAAAAAAATAGTAGAGAAGGTAAACAGGCTGAATTTTTTAAAAAGGAGAATGGAGTCTGCCAAGTACAGGCCAATGAGCTTTATTTTTAATTTCCTGAGAAAATGCTACAACATGTTATTAAAGGGATGGTTAGCGAACATCTTGAAAAGGAGCAGTAATGACAAAGAGCTATCACGGCTTCATCAAAAACCGATCATAACAGACTAACTTTATTTCCTTTTGGACAGGATTACTAAGAGAGGGTGCAGGGGCATGCTATACAGTTTATCCAGATCTTAACAAAGCTCTTGATAAATTCTCTCACGCTAACCTTACAAACAAGACGGAAAGATGTTGCCTATACAACAGCAGGGCAGATTCACAACTAGTGTAACGGCTGGACTCAGGCATTAACGGTTTAACATAATCCAGGTTTTCAGTGGTCTGTCCCACGGATCTGTAATTGGCTCTGCATGGCAGCGATTTCATCGGTCTCTCCAACAAGTAAGCGAGCGGCACCCTTATCAAAGCTGCAGGTGACACAAAGCTGGGAGGGACAGATGATATATCTGATGATCATGTCAGAACTGAAAAAGAACTTGACAAGTTAGAACACTGCGCTTGGTCAAAAAAGATATAAGCCTGAACAGATCTGAAAATTCACCTGTACAAGTAAAAGATGGGAAATGACTGCATAGCAGTCTATCTACAAAGCATCTGCGAGTTTAGGGGACTGCAAGACCCTCAGAGTCAACAGGGTGATGCAGCAGCCAAGAAAATGAACGCCATCTTGGGCTCTACTTATTAAGACGCACAATATCCAGTGCTAGGAAAGGTGGTTCTTGGGCCCGGCCATGCAGCCTCCGGAGTGGTGTGTTCTATTCTGGGCGTGATTTAAGGATAGAGATGGAGCAACTAGATGGCTCAGTGGATACAGCACTAGCCCTGGAGTCAGAAGGACCCAAGTTCAAATCTAGCTTCAGCCACTTACTAGCTGTGTGACCCTGCGCAAGTCACATAACCTTAATTCCCTCTTCTCCACCCTCTCCCCCCAAAAAAGGATAGAGATAAGGAGAAGGGTGTCCAAGGACAGTAATGAGAAAGACTTTAAATTTATGCCAGATAAAGAAACTGGGGGTGTTTAGCCTGTAGAAAGGAAGAGTTTCTGAGGGCAAGGGAGACGTGATGACTGTCTTCTAGTACCTCAAGGGCTATCTCATGGAAGACGATTCAACTTGTTCTCCAGATCACAGAACTGAGGAGCAGTGCATGAAAGTTGCAAAGAAGCCAGTGTAGGCTTGATGTCCAGAAAACCTCCTAACAACTGGAGCTCTGGAAGACGGAAAGGGCTGCCTTGGAATGTCATGGATACTCTCTAAAGGGAGGCTGTCAAGAAAAACTGAATGCGTTGTAGAGAGGCTTCACTTTCAGGTATGGCCATTGAGGACTTTTTCACCTTTGAAATTCTGTGATTCTTTCCACAAATTCCATGACATTTTGTTATAAGCTTCTCAAACTTCCTTTGTGCTAGTCTCTGGGGCAGGAAGAGCACCAGTTTGAAAGTGTGGAGAGACATGAGGATTCAGGCTCCTCTGGGACCATGGCTGATCTTGGAGGTTTGGAAGAGAAAGGGTCCTCACCCCAAGCTCTCAGGACAAGGGGGAGGGGCTGTTCCTGAATATTCTGACTTGGTGTCACGGCAGATTGGCCAGAATAAAGAAACCCCACCGGAAATGTCCATCTAGTATTTTAAGCATGGGGAGATGAGCCCAAACCTGGTGTCTTTCTTCTTCTCTTAGTACTCTGTAAACTACTTTTTCTGATCCCCTTCTCTTTCTCTCTAGGAGATAAAAAGGTAAATATTCTTCCCCTTCTACAGCAAAGGAAACTGAGATCCAGGGAAGACGACTGAAAAAACAACCCAGTAAAGTAGGAGAGAACTGAGAATAACAATTGACATTTGCTTTCTTTCACAGGGCTTTCAGGGATATTCCACCTTCTCCACACGACATCTTCAAGCTAGAGAAGGTGGATATTATTATTCTAAATTCAGAGACTGAGAAACAGAAACAGAGACTAAATAACTGGCTCAAAATAACCTAAGAAATCAGCAGCAGAGCTGGAAGCAGAGCCCACGAGCCCAGTGCCTGTGACCACAAAAGGAAGCCTCCAGAGTCCTCTGAAAGGGAGCACAAGAGAAGCAGAAATGCCCAACAACAGATCTTTGAAGCCTGAGGCAGGCCATCCTCACACTGACAGAGACTCAAAGGTCTAAGTGTGCCTGGGGTTAGCAAGAAGGCTCACCAGCTGGCTCCAATCCACTGCCTTCCTGGGTCAGAGCCTGGAGGACGGTCTGGCGCTTCAGAGCAGAGATCTGCAGGAGCCAGAGACCATTAGTGTCAGGATGGATCAAACACACTCTTTCCCAGGAATATCTCTATGAAGTTTCATTCATTAAAATGCTCTGTTGCCTTCACGGTTCCAAGCCCTGGAACTGATTAACTCCTGGGGCCTCAGAAGGAAAGGTTCAGAGACGATATGAAATTACCAGAAAACCACGAGCTCAGAGTAGCCCCACGGCGTCTTTTTTTTGCCCTGTACTGAGCTCAGACTATAGTGATGACAACAGAAATCCCAGGCTTTCCAGCCAGACTGAGAAACATTAATCTCCCATCATTCCTGAGGAAGCCTTTCTTCAATGTTCTGGCCCTTCCTCCTTTCACGGTCTCTGTTTCTTGAGAAAACATGCCGAGACAATGAAGCGTCTTAACTAGTGTTCTAATACTTCATTCTTACAGAGCGCTTGGAGGCTGACAAGGTGCCTTCCTCGCAAGAACCTCATGGGGAAGCAGCGCAAGCCTGATTCTCATTTTACAGCTACACAGACTGAAGCTTAGAAAGACTATGTAACTTCCTCCTTGATCACGGGGCTAGGAGGTAGCAGTGAGGATCTGAACACAGGCCAGCTCACTTTAAAGACACTGCTCTTTCCCCTAACCCACAGTTACCCCAGGGTTGCTAACTGTGGGTGTGGACATACCTTAATGACAATATCTATAGACTGTGGACTTTGCTTCCCTATCAAAAGTTCCAGAGTTAACAATACTGCAGAGATGGTAAATGTTAATAATTAAAGCATATTTTTCCCAAAGTGCCCCTTGATTTTTGGGACAGAAGTCTAATTCCTGAGGGGTAAAGCCAGACCCTGAAATAAGGCTAACTGGAACTTGAAAGCCTACATAATCACAAGTAATGATGTGGCAGTACGGAGGGCTAGAGGACATACATGTACATAAAAATGCTTGCTGAATGACTGATTTATGGGCACTTCTAAAAGTCAGAACTGGCACAAGTAGAGGGATACATACAGGTACACATCTGATGGCTGGAAGGAAGCTGTCTTGCTCACCAATTTGTAGAGAGGACTCAACAGAAGTCCTCATAACCTAAAGGAAATAAAGAGAGAAATCGGTTGACTAGGCACATGTCCACCTCCCAGACATGATCCTTAATTTAAATGATTTAAAAGTTGAATGCTTATAAGTGTCCCAATGCATCTTGACTCCAATGTGCCTTAAAATGGATTCCCTTCTGAGAAGGCAACTTGAAAAAAGGGGAAGAGAAAACTACTGACCTGCCTCACATTCTACTCTTTCATTTTACAAATAGGGAAATGGGAGCCCGGAGGTCACAAAGATGGCGAGTAGCAGAGCTGAGCCTTGAAAAGGGGCCCTCAGTTCAGGGCTCTCTTCCATGTCCCACAGACTTCCCTCCAAACAAGACTCCTTCAAGGTCTGATGCTATCAGGAACCCTCCCCATCCTATCCCTCCAGACACTCTGAACTCCTGGAGTATTTACAGTCTGTACCGCACAACCAGGCAACTGGTCACATGTTATCTTGCTTCCCCAACTGGACTTTTCAACTTGAGAAGTAATTCCCTACGTAACACACCTAACAGGTGGCGGCCTCCATCCAATGAGGACCATTTTCTCACCCAGCACAGCCTACACATCCCAATCATTCTGAATGCGCTGAGAGTAATCATCCAAACCCCACTGCCCATACCCCATCACCTGATTCCTCATTCCCATCTCCTTCAACCCTCCCTGAAAAATTCCAATCAAATACCACCCACCTTGCACTGTGCCCTCTGGAATGCCTGCTCTATAAGCAATAAACTTCCCTTCACCCTAAATCTGTTCCTCTCCCACTGCTTCCATCTGGCTGTCACTGAAACCTGGCTTTCCTTAATGATACAGACTCTTTGGCCACCCCTTCCAGTACTGGGTGTTCCCCAAGCCACTGACTTCCTTTTCAGGTCACTGCTCTCCGCTGGTTCTCCTCCTACCTCCCTGGTGGCTCCTTCTCTGTCTCCTTTGCTGGATCTTCCTACAGCTCATTCCCTCTAAGCACAGGTGCCCCTCAGGGTTCTATCCTGGGCCCTCTTCTTTTCTCTCTCTATACTACCTCCCCTGGACATCTCATCAGCTCCCATAGATTTAATTACCGCCTCTATGCTGATGACTCTCAAATTTACCCATCCTGCCTCAAACTCTCTGCTGATTTCCAATCTAGCCTCATCTCTAATCGCCTGTCATACAGCTCAAACTGGATGTCCAGAACAGAACCTACCTACCCCCCACCCTATCAACCCCCCTATCTTCCCTATCTGTGTTGAAGGTAACATCATTGTCCCGGTCCCTCAGGCTTCCAACCTAGATGTTACCCTGGACTCCTCACTGTCTCTCACCCCCCAAAACTAATCTGCCAACTTCACCTCTGCAGCGTCTCTCTTGAACATGCCCCCTTCTCTCCTTTGACATTGCCACCCCCCTGGCCCTTATCCTCCCATGCCTGGACTAGTGCAATACCCTGCTGCGGAACCAGCCTGTCTCAAGTCTCTCCCCACTAAACCCGTGTTCCAAACAGGCACCAAAGTTATTTTTCTAAGTGCAGGTCTGATCACGTCACCCTCACCGTCACTCAGTAAACTCCAGGGGCTCCCTATGGCCTCCAGGATCAAATATAAAATCCTCTGCTTGGCATTCGAAGCCACTTACAATCTCCCTTGCCCCCCACCTTTCCAGTTTTCCTACACCTCACTCCCCAACTTGGCCACCAAGACGCTTGGATCCCTTCCTGTTCCACATACAAGACTCTCCATCTCCTGACTCCAGGCATTTCATCTGGCCGTCCCTCGCACCTGGAATGTTCTCCCTCCTCTTCACCGCCTACTGGTTCCCCTGATGTCCCAAGCAAAATCTCCCCTTCTACAGGAAGCCTTTCCCAACCCCCTTGGTTTCTGTGCCTTCTGTTATTTCCTACTTCTTTACTTAGCTTGTTTGTGCGTTCTATCCCCAATTAGATTGTTAGCACAATCAATGAATTAATCTTTACTGACTGACTGACTGTCTAGTCTCCACCTAAAAATCTGCAAGGATGGGAAACTCACTCTCTTCGAGACAGCACATTAGAGCACTCTGCTAGGCAGGTTTTCCTTGTATTCAGCTGAAATCTGCCTTGCTGACTTTCCCCTCCTGTGCCTAGTTCTATCCTCCAGGACCAAGCAAAATTAGGCTCATTCCTCTTCCCCTTTACAACCCTTTAAATATTTGAAAACAGAAATTATGTCTGGCCTCACCTCTCTGCCCTCCCCCTACCCCCGCCCCCCTCTTTTCTTTTTTAGATCAGCCATCCCTGGCTCCTTCAACCAATGTTCACACACGGTCTCACATTCTCTACCAATCTGGACACCTTCCAGCCCATCCATGGCCTTCCTAAAGCATGGCATCCAGGACTAAACACCACACTGCAGACATGGCCTGACCAGCTCACAGCATATGATTGGCTATCCCTTCCCTCATTCTGGTCACTGTATATTTATATAAGCATTTAAGACTACTTAGCTTTCTCCAAGTCTTTGAAAGCAGGGACATCTTTTGATTTCTTGTGCCTCTTGGTTTCTGGGCACGGTGTGCTCTCCACACATGGTCAATAATAATTTCATAAATGTATAGCGAGGGATTTCAGAGGTTATCAGGCTCAACTCCCTCATTTTATGCATGAAGAAACTCATTATGATCAATTTCCTGTAGGTTTCTATATTTTTTCAGTCCTCATTTTATAAATCCTTTTTCTCTCTTATCTAGTTTAACCCCACCAAGACTGGAAAGACCTACCCAGGATTCCTCAGAGTAAATCACCTATCTTGCTACAGAGTAGCTAAATAAATAGAAATACTGGAGCAACAGAGAAATAGCTTATCCAAGGACTGGCCACTGTAAACCACTGTCAACAGGCAATCAGGACTTTGTGAAACTTACATGAAAACTAGGTTTATTACAAGAGAATGAACATGCATGTGGAACCCAGAGTTCACAATCCATACAGAAGCCTGCATATTTATATCATCAAGACAAAGGAAGGAAGAAATATCAGAATCTCTACCTGAAGGGGCATGGCATGGGAGTGGAAATGTGCAGTAAAGGAGGGAAAAGGGCAAAACCCCTCTGGAAGGGAAGGAGTGAAGGCAAAAGCCACATTCTTTGCCCGTGGAAACTACCTGACCATGAAAATAGGAGTGTCTCCTTATCTGCAAGAATCCAGCTGCACAAGCCTAGTGTAGACTGACTGGAGCCTCATTTGACTGCTAAGGACACACAGGGAGTCCAGGTGGGGACGCAAATGACAAATTATGTCAGCTGGGGGGCTTCGTCCTTGATACATTCAGGGTCTCCTGCAGTGTTTATGGAAATTATGACACCTCAAAAAGACAAGTTCAGACTAATGCATTGTTGGTGGAGTTGTGAAATGGTCCAACCATTTTGGAGAGCAATTTGGAACTATGCCCAAAGGGCTATCAAAATGTGCACACCCTTTGACCCAGCGATAGCACTTCTAGGGCAATATCCCAAAGAGATCATACAAATGGGAAAAGGACCCACGTGTACAAAAATATTCATAGCAGCTCTTTTTCTGGTGGCCAAGAATTGGAAATTGAGAAGATGCCCATCAATTGGGGAATGGCTGAACTGGTATATGTAGTATATGAATGTAATGGAATACTATTGTGCTATAAGATAGGATGAGCAGGTAGACTTCAGAAAAACCTGGAAAGACTTGTATGTTCTGATGCTGAGCGAAATGAGCAGAACCAGGAGAACGTTGTACACAGTAACAACCACACTGTGCGATGACTAACATTGATAGACTTAACCCTTCTCAGCAATACAAGGATCTAAGACATCTCCAAAGGCCTCACAATGGAAAACGCTATCCACTTCCAAAGAAAGAACTATGGAGTTTGAATGCAGATTAAAGCATGCTATTTGCTCTTTTTTTTTCTTCTGTTGTGTTTTGCTTCCTCTTTCTGGTGGTTCCTCCTATTGGTTCTCACAACATCACTAATGTGAAAATGTTAATAGGAATGTATATGTAAAGCCTATGTCAGATTGCACGCCATCTTGGGGAGGGAGGCAGGGAGGGAGAGAGGGAAAAATTTAAAACTCAAAAACTTATGGAAGTGATTGTTGATAATTCAAAATAAATTAATTAATAAAAAAAAAGGTGGGGGGAAGACAAGCTCATGGGATCCTTAACATTCTTAAATATCAGCAACATTAGAATATTTTAAACTAGGGCCGAGCAAGACAACTGGGGCAAGCTGATGGTCTCATTCAAAGAGACACCAGAGAATCTAAGACTTATCCAGACAGACTAAGTAAGGTGTTTAATAGAGATGCGGCAGCGGAAACAACAGAGGACTCCCGAAATCTAAGAAAAATCGATATTTCCCAGGTTTCTAACACAAAGAAACATGTAGCTATAGGAATAGAAAACTAGACTTCAACCTCTAGGAGGGCAGGGATTATGTCTTCCCTAAACGTTATTTCTTCCCCAATGCTTAGCACAGCAATCTACACAAACTGGATGCCCACCAAATGTCTGATAAATTGAACTTGGATGCAAATGGTAAGTTCCTCAAATGGAAGAGCCTCCTGGATGGGAGAGGGTTTAAATGTGATTAATCAGAGTCAGTAGACTATAAATCTTTTACCACATATTTCTAAATTTCCATTTAGGCAGTGGATGTTTTATCTTCCATTTGCTCAGAAACAATATACTCTATACTCTGGTCCCCAGGTAAGAGTACTTACCTGTTCATCTTCTCTCTCTTCTCCATTAGGGGGACAGCAAGCTCCTTCATTCATGTCTCAAGAGTACTCCTTCAGGAAAGCCTCGGGAACTCAGTACAATACGGCTCAGTACAAAATTTCTGGCAAGGCCAGAAATCCAGAAGCCATACGTGACAGCTGAAAAATCAAGGCTTCTGTCTTCATTGGTCATAAAGGCTGAGGCCAAAGAAACAGGACTCACAAGAAATCAAAGGCAGCTGGTAACCTCAAGGTTCCTGTCCAGCCATCTCTGGGGAACTCAGTTCTCCCTTGGAATCTTCGAAACATGCACTGATTTTGGTGACTCAGATTTGCTAACTCTTCTGTGCTGCAAGGCCAAGCTGCTTCTGCAGATCAAGTCTCTGGGCCCTCACATCTAAGTGAACTGTCGATTCCCCCTCAGTTCTGCTAGCATGAACATCAGGGTATGTTTCCATGTACCAGGAAGTATTCACAAAACCCCGGCCCAGTGAAGAGCTGCTCTTCCTATGTAGCAAACAAAGCCCTAGACAGTGGCTGGGGCTGTTGTGTTCAACCCTGCAACAGAAATCAAGCCCGTGTTATCATCTACAATAGTGGTGTCTAATGGAGAGAGCCAGTACCCCCAGTAAGCGACGGGATCACTCCATGGCGTCACCAGCCAGAGGATGACAGGTCTCATGGCGCCTTCCAGTACTAACCAATCCTTGTACCTGCATAATCCCATCCTGCCCTTCCCCAACATTCCCCTACTCTACTCCTTCCCAGTGGCTGCCTGCTCCCAATCTTTCCTCTGCTGAACCTGGCATAGGCTCCTCAGGTCAGTTATAACCTGCAGCAGCAGCTGAGCTAGCCACGTTCCTTCCCCTGCCCAGCTCCCCCCAACAACGTGCCCACACTGTCCCCCTACAACCCCACGGCTGAGGCACGTGCCCCCAGGGAGGCAAGCCAGACCATCCCTTCCCTTGTTGTTTTTGCTGGGACAGAGTGAGCTACATAGTTAAGCAAGGATGGATGCATTCTGCACCAACAGTCTCACTATATCATCCTTTCTTCAGAAACCACCCCCTTTCCAATTCCTGTCTGTTCAGGGTGCCACCATCCTTCAGGCCAGCTCCTCCCTCCCCTCACAGATCCAATCAGGTGCCGTGTCTTGTTCATTATACCTCCCACACCTGGCATCTACCCCCTTCTCTCCACTGACACAGCCCCTCACGCCAGACCACTGCAATAGCTTCTTCTTTTGCCCCCTGAACTTGGCTCTCCTTAATGGAATCCTGCTTCCACATACCTGCCAAACTGATAATACTAATGCGTGGGTCACTCCCTTATTTATTTATTTTTAGGCAATCGGGGTTAACTGACTTGCCCAGGGTCACACAGCCAGTAACTGTCAAGTATCTGAGGCCGCATTTGAACTCAGGTCCTTCTGACTTCAAGACCAGAGCTCTATTTACTGTACCACCTAGCTGCCCTGGTCACTCCCTCATTTAATCAAATGACAGTTCACAGCTGACTCTAGGATCAAATGGCATTTCACCTTTATTTTATCCTTTTTAAATGTCTATTTTTTGTGCAAGTTTAATAATGTACACAATTATTAGTACAGTAGTAGTAGTAGTAAATGTAAATACTTGCAAACATACATGTATTTGGGGTGTGTGCTCAAAATTTATTTTACTTTTTTTACTTGGTATGTGGCCAGGAATGTCTGGAGACCACTGATTTAAAATGCCATTTTTGGGGGGGTGGAGGGGGTCTAAACCACGATTTTTTCAGTGTAGGGAGCTCTGTTAACTTGTGGGGGCCTGCAAAATCAAGTGACCTGCCCAAAGTCATGAAAGCTTGTGTGTGTGTGTGTGTGTGTGTAGACTAGAATTCCTGGCCTCCTGATCCAAAGGCCAGCTTTTACTCTATTATATCTTTTTTTGTTGTTGTTGTTATTTTAGGCAATGGGGTTAAGTGACTTGCCCAGGGTCACACAGCTAGTAAGTGTTATGTGTCTGAGGCCGCATTTGAACTCAGGTCCTCCTGAATCCAGGGCTGGTGCTCTATCCACTGCACCAGCTAGCTGCTCCTATTCTATTATTACTGCCTCTCTTTGATTATCTTATTATATATTAATCTGCCCCCACCCATCTCACACCTTATCAGCTCATCTAGGAAACAAGATAATAGGATCCAATGACTGAAGATGGCCCTGGCTGCATGGGGAAACCTTGGCTTTTTGGTCTTTCCCAGGTCTCCATTTGACTAAGGCAACTTAAGGCTAGGTAAGAAATGAAGCAGAGAACGGCATCTTTACCTAGTCAAAACAAACAAACAAACAAACAAAACAAAAAACCAAAATCAGTCTGAGAGGGGAAGCCCCTCAGTTTCTGGCCAAAGTAGAAACAAATGCTATTTATATTCACTATGAGCCAATCGGCAGAAACAATGACCAAGCGGGGCCTGGCCTGAGATCTACTATTAGCCGATCAACAAGAGCCACAGTGATGTGGGTTTAAGATACGGTCCTTAAGAAAAAAATCTGGCCTGCCAACCCCAAAATGTCGAGAGGTTTCACTGATCAAAACTGACATTTCTTTGGGCGGAGCAACTGTAGGTAAAGGCATCTCTCATACCCTATGTGGACAGAGGGAAGGGAAGGAAAGGGGACAGGAAGGGAGGGGCAAAGAGCTGTGTTGCCCCAGATGGCTCCAGAGGAGAAAGTGAGGCAGGTGACCTTGCCCAGGCCTCTCACTTAAATCCCATTCGCCTGCACATCATGGCATCACCTCCCTGATGTCATGGTCCTCTTCGAGAATGAAGGACAAACAATGCCCACAGGACGCAGGATGGCTGCCCCGCAGTGCCAAGCTAGCTAAGCTTCCCTTGTGGAAAGCAGAGGTAAGAAGGTGAGTTTTATAAAGCATCTTCTCTCCAGTCTAGGTCAGAGTCCTGCAGGTAACCTTCCTTAAGATCTCCTGTTCGTAAATATGAGGATGTGGAAAACAGGGAAATTAGTGATTACATGGGAAAAAGAACTGGGGCTGGATAGGTCACAGTCTCAGTGTAAAGAAGGTAGGCACACCCTTCCTTGGAAGAATAATTTTTTAATAAATGTAAATCCTTTTCAAATTAACAAATACTTATTATTAAGTGCTATGTACAAGGCATCTAGGTGGCACAGTGGATAGAATGCTGGGCCTGGAGTCAGGAAGACCTGAGTTCAAATCTAGTCTCAGACCCTTGTCACCTCTGTGACCCCGGGCAAGTCATTTCACCCTGTTTGTCTCGGTCTCCGCATCTGCAAAATGAGCTAAAGAAGAAAATGGCAAACTACTCCAATACCTTTGCCAAGAAAACCCCAAATGGGATCACAGAGAGTCAGACACAACTGAAAAACGATTGAACCACCACCGCTAAATGCAAGGCATTGTACTAGATGCTGTCATTTTCACATTTTACTTTGTGCATGAGAACAAAGCTGAAATGGGAAGAGAGGAGACTGGACAGAACCTAGGGTACCCAGCCCCCTGACCTGTTATCACACACTAAGGCACATCTTTATGATGTCAAAGTTCTCCTGGTGAAGTTACAGAGCTGTGAATCAGGGGATGTTCCAATCTCAAATGATCTAAAAGCACCACGGAAAGGCAAATGTCAAGATGGAGGGAATGGTGTAGAAGACATCACTGAGCACGTATGACTGCAAAGGCAGCACACGAGTTACACAGAGAAGATGAGGAAGAGGTCAAACCCGTATCCACACAATAGTAAAGTCTAAGGAAGGGTCCTAGCTAACAGAGCCAGAGGTGGAAGCAACCTCAGAGATTTTACACAGGAGGAAACAGAAGCCCAAGGGGTCACGTGGCTTGCTCTGAGTCTCTCAGGCAGTAATTGCTGGAGGTGAGATTTGAACCTAAGTTCCTTGACTTTCTGCTGCACGGCACTGCCATTTCCCACAGGCTGGAAAACCACGGTTGGGCTGCCATCTTCCCCGGTAGAAGTGCCCTTGTTGATTAGGTCACTCACATATCCACAGAAGGGGAAAACTCTCTGCATGGGCATTTTAAATAAGTACCTGATTTCATCTGTGCATACACACATGTACAATGTACGTGGAGCACGTGGCCACAGCATCTACTCTAAAGGGCAGCCAAAAAGCAAGTGTGGTTTTGGGCCTCGTTAAGAGGTCCAGCTTCTAGGAATAAAGAGGGGATGGGTCTGCTCTGTTTCTACCCTGGTCAGGCCCTACTGAGCACTGCATTCTGGTCCAGGAGCCATGGCTAAGGAGGACACTGGTAAACTGAAGATGGACCAGAGGAGGGCAGCCAGGTGGGGAAGGCCCCGAGTCACATCACAGAAAGATAGGGTGAAGGAAACAGGGATGTTTGGCCTGAGGAAGAGAAGCCTCAGGGGCATGTGGTCCTTGTCTTCAAGTATCTGAAGCCTTGTCTTTTGAAGTCCTGGGGAGGAGGCATTATCCTTGCTCTGGTGGCCTGCAGGGGGCAGAACCAGGGGCAACATAAAAAAGGGGGAAATAATCATCCCCAGGAGGGGTTATGTTAGAGATACCTGCTGTACCTTCACTAAGGTGAAAGGCTGATTACAGTTCCACTGGTTGTCTCCAAGGCTCTTTTGCATCCCCAACGAAGTAGGAAACCCCCCACAGGGCACCTGTTCCCATGAAAACCAAACAAAGCAACAGGCAGGGCTAGAATCACAAATTCCCACCAGTCACTTCTTTAGTCAAGGCTGTGGGAACTTACACATTCTCCTGTAAGGGGCAACAGCTGGTGAGAATCAGAAGTTCAGAGAATGAGAGCTCAGAGACCTGCATTACATAGTAAATACAAACGCTTGAGCTTGAGAACAGCAGCCCTTTGAGAAAGTGAAAGCCACAGGGGGTTCGGTGATCTCCCAGAAAACACACAGGTAGTAAGCAGCAGAGCCAGAGTGTGGACTCATAATAAAGTGACTTCCAGAGGCAGGAGTCCAAAGCACCAGAAAGGCAGGGAAGGATAACATGAGAAGTCTGGATCCGAAGCTGAGTTCCATTCTAGTTTACCTGTGCCCCTCTGGCCAAGTCTTACTACCTCTCTGCACCTCACTTTGCCCTTCTTGACAAGGGTCATTTTCAAATAAACAAGTACCATCCATTCCCATTTGCAACGCACTGTTTTAAGTGGTGTGATCTTTCAATGGTCACTCTGGGAACGAAAAAAAAAAACCTGAATTAGGGGCTATCTCAAAAAAAAAAAAAGGAGCCTAGATGAGGAAAGGTATCATAGAATGGTGGATAGCATCAGACTTGGGAGTCAAGAAGGCCCAAGTTTAAATCTGGTCTGTGACACTTACAAGCTTCCTGACTATGGGCAAGTCAATTCCGCTCTCTCTAAGCCTCAGTTCACCCATCTGCAAAATGGGGATAACAGCATCTACCTCATGCTTGGCCAATCTTTAATGTGCCATTTTCTGTCTCTACAGCATCTCTCTGTGTTCCCTTTTCTTCACTCAGTCATACTTGGATTACTGCCTTCTAACTGGTTTCTTCGACTCAAGTCTTTCCCTATTCCAATTCCTTAAACTTAAGTCTGACCATGTCACTCCCTAACCAATATAACCCACTAGCTTCCTATTACTTCTAGAATCAAATAGAAATTCTTCTGTTTGACATAGAAAGCTCTTCACAAACTGATATCCCCCTCCCTCCCTACCCGTCTACGATGATCTTTCTAGTCTTTTTACACATTTCTCCCCTTCACGTCCTTTCTGGTCCTCTACTGGCATTCTATCTCCCACCTCCACACCTTGGTCCTGGCTGTTCCCTCCTCACCTCAGCCTCTTATACTCCCTAACTTCATACAAGACTTAGCTGAAATATCCCCTTCTGTAGGATGCCTCTGCCAATCCCCATCCCCCCCAGCTGTTAATACCTTCCACTCCACTCGAAGGCTGTCTTCCATCTACTCTGTGAGTATCTTGTCTATACATGTTCCTCCCTATTAGAATAGAAGTTCCTTGAAGGCAGGGGCTGGTTTTCTTTTTCTTTTGTAATCTCAGTGCAATCACAATGCAAGGTACATAGGCAGCACTTAATAATGTTGGATTGGATTGCCAGGGCCTATGCTAAGGGCTGAGAGATGGAAAGAAAAGCAAAAACATTCCCTGCTCTCCCACAGCTCAGTCTAATGGGGGCAACAACATTGGAACAACTATGTACAAACCTGCTGGGTTGTTGTTTTTTTTTTTGGTTTTAGGCAATGGGGTTCAGTGACTTGCCCAGGGTCACACAGCTAGTAAGCGTTATGTCTGAGGTCATATTTGCACTCAGGTCCTCCTGAATCCAGGGCCGGTACTCTATCCACTGCACCACCTAGCTGCTCCCGGCCTGCTGGTTTTTTTTTTTTAAAGTAGTTCTATAAATCTGTTTCCATATAATTGGCTTCCTTTGAAGTTTTACATATTGCATTTGACGCACATAAAAAGGGTCTACAGGCTTCACCAGACTGTCAGAGGGGTCCATGACCCCCAAAGAATTTGCAGAAACGGTGCCAAACTGCCCTCCAGGATGGGTTGGGATAGGAGGTGTCTATGCAGCGAGAGCCCAGGTCTAGCCTCCATGCCCAGCCCCAATTCCCTTCCAGTAGGAAAAGCCCAGGATGCACCAGGGCAACGCCGGCGGCTGGAGAGGTTACTTTGTATCAAGCCCGTCGGGGTCAGGCCCTCCTCCAGCCCCGAAGGAAAGCTCTCGGAAAGGGAGGAGGGGCAGCCGGGGGGATTGGGCCTTCGGCGAGGGGCCGCGTTCCACCGTGACCTACCTGCCTCAGCCTCCAACACCGCCTCCCCCCTCGGTGGTCCCTGTCCCCCCGAAGCCGCCTAGGTCCAGCAGCAGCCGCCTCAAACCAACGCCTCCAGCATCTGCACCTGCGTAGTGCGCCGCCCGCGAGCCCCAGCTAGAACTACACTTCCCAGCAGGCTTCACGAGGACGCCTTACGGCTCCTGGCCAAGGACAATCTTCGCCGGATCCGCAACAACCCCCGAGGTGCAAAGTTCGAGGTCAAGTCTCTGGGTTTAACAGGCTCACACCCAGTCCTAGTAACGCGATGGGCGGGACGGGCGGGGTGGGCGGGGTGGGCCTCCCGGCGAGGGCGGAGCGACCCCCCCCTCCACGGCCTTTCTTATCCCAGACGGGAGGACCCTGGGCTCCATTCACCAGAGGCGGTCAGCATGATGTGGCTGTGGTGGGCGCTGGCGCTGGCGGCGGGGGTCGCGCTGCTCCTGACCAGGGTCCGGAGGCTCGTGGGCGGCGGCGGCCGGAACCCCTTCTCCGAGGACGCGAGGAGGCCTCGGGAGCCGCTGGTGACCGACCGGGACGCCCGCAAGAGGGTCCTCAAGCAAGGTGCGAATCCCTTGCCGAGCCTCGGTATCCCTCTTTGTAAAACACTGCATGAAGGTGGAGGGTTGGCGAGGAGGTGGCGTGGGCACAGGCGCGTGGATTTTAGAGCGTGTCACTGATGGGAGCCCACACCCAGGTAGATGAAGTCACCTGCTACTTAACGAAATCTGCCCGCGGCCTCAGTTTCCCCACGTGTCGGACTAGGGAGTAGCTCCGAGCCCCCCAGAGGGGCTGTCGGGCCGAACGTGGTCGAGTTCTAAGTGTCTGGTTACCCTGGCTCTGTGACCTCTAGCTACTCAGCCCCGCAGGTCCCTCACAACGAACCCACCTGGAGCACACTTTTCTGTTTTTGTTTTTGTAGATGGCATGAAATATTTATTGATAGAAGTACGGGGTTATGGATGTGTAACGACAGCAGCGTGGCATGTCCTTTCACATGTCTACCCCAGAGAATCAGTTTACTTTCCTTTTATACCTAAAGGCAATGTCTAATTTAATATAAATTTGTTTATTTTTCGTTTTCAACATTCACTTCCACAAGTTTTTGAGTTCCAAATTTTCACCCCATCTCCCCCTCCCCCCACGCCAAGATGGCATGCATTCTGAATACCCCTTCCCCTAGTCTGTCCTCTCTTCTATCTCTCTCCCCTTCTCTTATCCCCTTCCCCTTCTATTTTCCTATAGGGCAGGATAGACTTCTGTACCCCATTTCCTGTATTTCTTATTTCCCAGTAGCATGTGAAAACATTTTTTTAAACATATGTTTTTAAAACTTCAGGTTTCAAATTTTCTCTCTTCCTTCCTCCCCACCCACCCTCATTGAAAAGGCAAGCAACTCAATATAGGTTGCAGCAAAACACTTCCATAGTAGACATGTTGTGAAAAACTAACTCTATTTCCCTTAATCCTATCCTGCCCTCCTATTTATTCTATTCTTTCTTTGGACCCTGTCCATCCTCAGAAGTATTTACTTCTGATTACCCCGTTCTGCCCTCCTCTCTATCATCCCCCTGCTCTCTTGTCCCCTTCTCCCCCTATTTTCCTGTAGGGTAAGACAGATTTCCATACCCAATTGAATGTGTATGTTATTCCCTCCTTAAGCCAAATCCTATGAGAATAAGATTCACTCATTCCCTCTCACCTTCCCCTGCTTCCCCTTCCACTGTAAGACTTTTCTGTTTTTTTTTGTGAGATAATTTACCCCATTCTACCTCTCCCTTTCTTCTTCTCTGAGATAATCCTCTCTCATCCCTTAATTTTATTCTCCAGATATGACCCCTTAATCTTCAACTCACCCTGTGCCCTCTATCTATCTACATATACATACATATAATTTTTTTCCTCCAACTACCCTAATACTGACAAAGGTCTCATGAGTTTAAATATCATCTTTCCATGCAGGAATGTAAACAGTTCAATCTTAATAAGTCTCTTATGATTTCTCTTTCCTGTTTACCTCTTCATGTTCCACTTGAGTCCTGTATTTGAAAGTCAAATTTTCTATTCAGCTCTGGTCTTTTCATCAGGAATGCTTGAAAGTCCTCTATTTCACTGAATGACCATTTTTTCCCCTGAAGGATTATACTCAGTTTTGCTGGGTAGGTGATTCTTGGTTGTAATCCTATCTCCTTTGCCCCCGGAATATTATATTCCATGCCCTGTGTCTTTAATGTAGAAGCTGCTAAATCTTGTGTTATCCTGATTGTGTTTCCACAGTACTTGAATGTTTCCTTCTGGCAGCTTGTAATATTTTCTCCTTGACCTGGGAACTCTGGAATTTGGCTATAATACTCCTAAGAGTTTTCCTTTGGGGATCTCTTTCAGGAGGAGATCTGTGGATTCTTTCAATTTCTATTTTGCCCTCTGGTTCTAAAATATCAGGGCAGTTTTCCTTGATAATTTCTTGAAAGATGGTGTCTAGGCTCTTTTTTTGATCATGGCTTTCAGATAGTCCAATAAGTTTTAAATTCTCTCTCCTGGATCTATTTTTCAGGTCAGTTGTTTTTCCAATGAGATATTTCACATTGTTTTCTAATTTTTCATTCTTTTGGATTTGTTTTACAGTGTCTTGATTTCTCATAAAGTCACTAGCTTCCAATTGCTCTATTCTAATTTTTAAGGAAGTATTTTCTCAGTAATCTTTTGGACTTCCTTTTCCATTTGGCCAATTTTTCTTTTTAGGGCATTCTTCTCCTCATTGGCTTTTTGGACCTCTTTTGCCATTTGGGTTAGGCTATTTTTTAAGGTGTTATTTTCTCCAGTATTTTTTTGGGTCTCCTTTAGCAAGCTGTTGACTTGTTTTTCATGATTTTCTTGCATCACTCTCATTTCTCTTCCCAGTTTTTCCTCTGCTTCCCTTACTTGCTTCTCAAAATCCCTTTTGAGCTCTTCCAAGGCCTAGGACTGATTCATATTTTTCTTGGAGGCTTTGAATGTAGGAGCTTTGACTTTGTTGTCTTCATCTGGTTGTATATTTTGATCTTCTTTTTCACCAAAGTAAGATAATACAGTCTGACTCTTTTTGCACTGCTTACTCATGATCCCTGCCAATTACTTGAGTTTTAAACTCTTTGTTAAGGTAAGAGTCTGCTTCCAATGTGGAGAGTGTACTGTCCCAAACTTCAGGGGTTTGTACAGCTGTTTTCAGACATATTTGTAGGGACCTGTACATTTTCAGTTCTTCTAAGGTGGTATGATAAGGGGTGAGGTGTTTATTCCTTTCCTGGCCTGTGACCACAAGCACTCCTTTCTGTCCTGTAATTGTGAGGAGGGGCTCCTCTTCACAGCCACTACAAACTCCACCAAGCCAGTGCTCCTCCTCACCCCAGCACCGCCGCCCAGAACTGTGGCCCAGATCCAAATAGAGGCAAAGCAAGAGATTCCTGCGTCAGCACTGGCAAAGAGATCCCTGCAATCCCTCTCAGATCAGCCACTGGATTCCCCCTCAGTCTGTGGGCCTGAACCTTGGGAAGCAGCTGCCCGCCTACCCCCCCCCCCCCCCCCCCCCGCCGCCCACACTCTTGGGGAATGGATCTGAAACCCTGCCTTCCTTTCTCAGCACCAACAGAAACAGACTTTTCCAACTGACCTTCTAAGTTGTCTTTGGCACTAGTGGGTTGAGGAGTCTGGAAACTGCCACAGCTGCCTGAGATTCAGTCCTCTGAGGCCTGCTCCAGGTTCCCTGCGGCCTGCGCGCCCACGCTGTGCTCCCAGCCCAGCGCGATACACGTTTCTGATCAATCATCCAGGTTGTCTTGGGCTGGAAATTTGTTTCACTCTGTCTTTTTGTGGGTTCTGCTGCTTCAGAATTTGTTTAGAGCCATTTTTTATGAGTATTTGGAGGAGTTTGGAGGAGAGCTCAAGCAAGTCACTGCTTTCACTCCGCCATCTTGGCTCCGCCCTGCCCCCCCCATTGTCTAATGTAGACCCTTTCTTGTTTCCCTATGCCTAGGGCATACAACTTTCTCTCTTTGTAAACCTCTCCTCTTGTCAATTCAAAAGCCATCTTCTTGCTGATGGAATCTGATTGCAGATAGAAGCATCCCCTCTCCTCCCCCCCCCTTTCCTTATTATTATTATTCTTTTTTGGTCCATGTTTTCTTCTACAATACGACCAAGGTGGAAATACGCACTGCGTGACTGACCATGCATAACACATCAAATTGCTTCATTCTAGATGGGGGGGGGGGAAGGTAGAGAAACTAGAACTCAAAACCTTAAGTGAATGCTAAAAATTTTTACATGTAATTGGAAAAAACCAAAATATTAAAAATCTGTCCTCTCAAAAGAAAAAATCATTCTCTGATTCAAGATTAAATATTATTCTTGTTTTCAAATCCCTGTCATTTCAACCAGGGGTTGAACTGGCTCATAAGAGACACATTTTAAATTTTCTTTATGCCAAATACACTCTGGGAAATTGGCAAAGGCTCTAAAACAGGCCTTGATTTGTTTTGATGATTGTTGAAATTTAATAAAGTGATGAAGAAAATATTAATAACGCATACTAAACTTAAAAGTGTGTCATGCATACATTTTAGAGGAAAGGGTGTTTCTGGAGAGACAATTTAAACGTTTGCAGCATAAACCTAACTTAAATGTACTACTGCTTGGCCACTCATCTCTTTTTACCTTTTTAAAAAAAAATTTTAATAGTATCCCCACCCCCCTTACATGTCAAGTCAATTTTCAGCATTCATTTTAAAAGATCCTGAGCCTCAAACTCTTGCCCCTCCCTCCCTCCCCACCCGCTTCCTAAAATAGTAAGCATTTTGATATAGGTTATGAATGTGCTATCATGCAAAACATATTTCCACGTTAATCACAGTTGTGAAAGAAGAAACAGATCAAAAGGAGAAAAAACACACAGAAAAGAATAAAGTAACTGAAAAAAGTGTGCTTTTCGTTCAGAGTCCATCAGCTTTTCATCTTCCTTCCTGAGTCCTTAGATCATTGTGTTGCTGAGAGAGCTGTTCTTCATAGTTGATCATCACACAATATTGCTGATACTGTGTACAATACCTTCCTGGTTCTGCTCATTTCACTTTGTCTCAGTTTGTAAAAGTCTTTTCAGGATTTTCTGAAATCTGCTTGTTCATCGTTTCTTATTGCACAATAGTATTCCATTACATTCATATACAACAGCTTGTTCGGCCATTCTCCAGGTGATGGGCATCCCCTCAATTTCCGCTATTTTGCCACCATGAAAAGGGCTGCTATAAATATTTTTGTACATGTGGGCCCTTTTCCCTTTTTTTGTGATCTCTGAGATACAGACCTAGTAGTGGTATTGCTGAAGGTTAGAGCCCCTTCCAGCCCCACCATGAATGACTGGGACCACAGCTCCGTGCCCTGCAGATAGGCTGTCAGGGCCAAATGTGGAGGAGTTCGAAGTGTCTGGTCACCCTGGCTCTGTGACCTCTAGCTACAAAGTACTACAGGTCCCTCACAACGAACCGCCTCGTTTGTGCAGAGTACAATTACTCCTGGAGCACGTCTCCCTCGCCCCTGGCACACAATAGCTGCCTAATGAGCGCACTGGCCATCCAAAGCCTGGGCACTGTCCCTTCTCACCGGATCCCACCATCCTCCTTGAGGCTGTCAACCTATGCCTCGTCTCCCCTTCTCAGATAAACTCCTTGGAAAACGGGCTGCTCTCAGTGTCTGCCTTGCTCTCTTCTCAGGCCGTTACAAACTGACTTGCAACCTCTTTTTTTCAGCTGAAACTGATCTCTCTCCCCAATGACCAGATTCCTTGTTTGTGATTTTAACAAATTTTAAATCAAAACCTATCTTTCTTCCTCCCCTCATCCCCTATTGAAAAAAAAAAAAACCTCTTGTAACAAACATGCTCAGTCAAGCAAAACTAATTCCCATGTTGGCCACATGAAAAAAAATGTCCCCAGCTGTACCCTGAGTCTGTTACCTCTGTCAGGAGGTTCTGTTAGTCCTCTGCAATCCTCCGTGGGCACTGTATTCACCAGAGTTCTTATGTCCTTCAAAGCTGTTTGTCTTAACACCGTTCTCCTGCTTTAGCTTTCTTCACTCTGTGTCATTTCATTCAAGGCTTCCCTGGCTCCTATTACAGTATCATATTTATATGTCATGATTTTTTTCAGCCATTCCTCATTGGATGGGCACCCCCTTAGTTTCAATTCTTTACCATCACAAAAAAAGAGCTGGTAGAAATATTTTTGTGTGCGTCGAGTCCTTCTGCTCTGTCTTTGACCTTTTTGGTTATAGGCCTAGTAGTGGGCTCATAACTAAGTGACTCTTTAGGCATGGTTCCACATTGCTTGCCGGAATGGCAGAAGCAATTCACAGCTCTGCCAGCAGGGCATTTAATGTGCCTGTGATGTTCCAACACTTATTATTTTCCTCTTTTGTCACCTTTGCCTATCTGATGGATGTGAGGGAGAACCTCAGAGTTACTGTAGTTTATATTTTTCTAATTAGTAGTGATTTTGAGCATTTTTTCATATGGCCATTGATAACTTGGGTTTCTTCCTTAGAAATCTACCTGTTTTTACCACTTATCAATTGGGAATGCCTTTTATTATAGATTTGAACGAATTCCTTATAGATCTTGAAAATGAAATTCTTATCAGTGAAACTTGTTTCAGAGATTCCCCTCCCCCTGTATGTTTCTCTTCTAATTTTAGTTGCACTGGGTTTTTTAATACAAATTTAATGTAATATAATTAAAATTATCTATTTTAGATCCTCTCTAGCCCACATTTGGTCAGGAGTTCTTCCCTTTACATTCTTCCTTGCTTCCCTGATTGTTTCTTATGCCATCCTTAATGTCTTTCTAAGTTATGTATCCATCAGTGATCTCTTAATTGTCAGATCTGTGGCCTAATCCTCCTCGGCCTCTCCTGGAAGGTATTAACCACCTTCTCCTCCTGGAAATTCTCTTCTCTTAGTTCTGGTGGCACTGCTTTCTCTTGGTCCTCCTCCGACCTACCTCTCTTTGGCTGGATCTTCACTCCTGTCACACCTACAACCTTTTGGTGTCCCCCAAGTTCTACCTTGAGATCTCTTCTCTCTCTACACTCTCTCACTTGGAGGTCTCATCAGCTCCCATGGGTTTGATAATCACCTCTCTGCAGATGAATTCCCACATCCCTAGACCCAGCCTTAGTCTCCTGAGCCCCAGTCCTACATCACCAACTGTCTATTAGACATTACAGAGAGGAGATCCCATGGGAGTCTCAAATTTAATGTGTCCAAAACTGACTTTATTCTCTTTCTCCCCAAACACACCCATGTTTGGAACTTTCCTGTTACTTTAGAGAGAACCACCATCCATCTTCAAAGCCTCCCAGGCTTGCAACCACAGCATCGTCTTTGATTCCTCACTTTAATTACCAGTCAGTTGTCTCATCTTATTGTTTTTCTCCTCGTCCCATCTCTTCTATAGTTTCCCTTCTCTCTGCTCTAGCCATCATCCTAGTTTAGACCATCCTTACCTCTTGCCTCTACTGTTATAGCCTTCTAATTAATCTCCCTGCCTTAAGTGTCTTCCTACTCTAATTTATCCTCCATTCAGCTACCGAAGTGATTTCCCTAAAGCTTAGATCTGATCATCTTCTCTTTTCCCTTCCCTTCTCCCTTTTCCCATCCTTTCCTGATTCTATTCAATGGTGCCCTGTTACTTCTAGGATCAAGTATTGATTCCTCTGTTTGGCCTGTAAAGCTCTTTATAACTAGGCCCCTTCCTAACTTTCTGTGATTCTTATCCCCTTCACACACTCTACATCTATCCTAGCCATGCTGGATACTTGTTATTACTAATTTAAATAATAATACTAATAGTTCTCCTTTATATAGCACTTACTATGTGCCAGGCACTGTGCTAAGCGCTTTACAAATATTTTCATCCTCGGGGCAGCTGGGTGGTGCAGTGGGTAGAGCACCAGCCCTGAAGTCAGGAGGACCTGAGTTCAAATGTGGCCTCAGACCAAACATTTGTCATGTTACTAGCTGTGTGACCCTGGGCAAGTCACTTAACCCCAATTGCCTGAAAAAAAAATGACAAAAAACCAAATATTTTCGTCCTCACAACAACCCTAGGAAGTAGGTTTGTTTATCTCCATTTCACAGATGTGGAAACTGAGGCAAACAGAAGTTACATGGCATGTCCAGGGTCACACTAAAGCTAGGAAGTGTCTGAGGCCAGATTTGAACTCATCTTTTCCAGCTCTCTGGGAACTGTGGCAATGCCAGCTTCTTCCAGTCAGTGATGCTCCGTCTCCTCTCTGTGCCTTTACACTGGCTGTTCCACAAACCTTGAATGTTCCCCCTCCTCACCTCACCCTCTTCTGCTCCAGTGTCACCTTTTGAAGGGGCCTTTCCTAGTCTCCCAGCTCCCCTCCCAGGTTACCTGCCATCTACTCCATGTGTACCTATAGCTATACAAGTTGTTTTGCCCATTTAACTTTGAGGTTCTCAAAGACAGGGCTGCTTTTCTTGTATCCTGAGCACTTAGCAGAGCCTTAGCAGGCCCTTAATCAATGCTCTTTGATTTTCTATTGACTGAGTCCAAGGCCAGCACTCTCTACTCTGCTGACTTCCAAGCCTCATCTCTGTTTCCACACTGACTAGACAAAAAGACTAGGGGTGCCAGGGGTCTTCTTGGGCCAAGTCTAGCACATAGGTCTTGGGGAGAGGATGGAGAGATGTAGGTGTGGGATGGATGAGCGAGGGGGATTTGGAAAGCATTAACTGCCCAAGAAATCTGAAGCAGTGGAGGGGGGGATATTTAGCCTAGAGAGAAAAGGCCTGATGGCATGATAGGTGTCTTCAAGTATCTCAAAGGATGTCACTGTGAAGAAGGATCAGACTCACTCTCTCTGGCCCCAGAGGGAAGAACCAGGAGCCATGAGCTGAATTTCAAAGGGGCAGATGTAGATCTGATGCCAGGAACACTTGCTCCAAAGTAGACTGGGCTGCCCAGGGCCTTCCCTAGGCAGGGCCCCTTCCCCAAAGCTGAGACACCCCTCATTGGATGTGTTTGATGTGGACTCAGGGGCCCTGAGGGCCTCACCTCCTAGATTGAAGAGTTTAGCAGAGAGGACATTGGGTTTGCAATCCAAGGACCTGGCTTTGATTCCTGGCTCTGTTATATTTACGTCCAGGCCGTCCCATAACATTTGTTGCTCTATTCAGCAAACATTTCTTACCTGCTTGCCTTGTGCAAGGTACTTCACCTTCTCTCTGCTCCTATGCTGGTCCTCAGTCCCTAATCCTATGGTTGTTGTTATTTGTGCTTTATTCTTGAAGAGGACCGTGAAATCACGGAGGTGATGCCATGACATGCAAGTGAATTAGATTTAAGTGAAGGAGGGCTGTGCAGGGTCACCAGCTTCACTGTCTCCTTCTGAGCCCTCTGGGTCCAGTGGCAAGATATGGATCAGGACAAGTGGAGATGGCCCCGGATGGAGTGTTTAACAGGTCTCAGTTTGACTGAGGCAACACCTATTCAGTGATTAAGGCTAGGTAAGAAATGGGGCAGAGAATGGCCTCTTTTATTTAGGCAAAAAAAAAAAATCTGTCTGAGAGGGCCAGAATCCTATGCTCTTGTTTGGACTCCAGGTTCTAAGCTCACCTTTGTGTGAGAATCTGATTATCTGAATAAGAATTAACTGATGTGTTATCTGATAAGCCCAGGCCTCCTTGGCTATGGGTAAATTTTCACTGGGATAAACATTGCCAATTCAGATTACATATCTCACTGCCTTTGAGACAGAGGTTTGGTGACAATACTTGTACTGTGGCTTTTCTCATTGTATGCGGCCAGAGATGCTTCCTTAGTTTCCATGTTCCTCCTCCCACTCATCTGGTACTGTCTCAAGGGTTGACACACTATCTTGCCCACACTTCGTTTTACAGCTTTCTCAGCCAGCCATGTGCCAGACCGGCTGGATGCCGTGGTGATCGGGAGTGGTATCGGGGGCCTGGCGGCAGCGGCCATCCTCGCCAAAGCGGGAAAGCGAGTCCTGGTGCTGGAGCAGCACACCAAGGCAGGTGGCTCCTGCCACACCTTTGGCCATCATGGTCTGGAGTTTGACACAGGTAAAGTGGGTCTGGGGAGGAACTGGCATCCTCTGCTTCAGGGCACATGTGAGGGTGGCAGCACAGGGTGGGAGAAAGAAAGCTGAACTCAGAGTCACAGGACTGGAGGCCAGAGCTGGGCTCTGCTTGCTACTGCCTCCCTGGGCCTCAGTTTCCATATGTGCAAAATGAGGAAGATGGGACCAGTCGGCCTCTTGAGGTCCCTTCTACCTCCAGACTAACGACCTTATTAAAGTTCTGCTGCTGTGGCCCCAGGTGACTTGGATCGGGAGTTAGAGGAGACCAGGCTGAAGCTGACACTGGGCATCCTCGGTGGTTCAGCCAGTCCCTCTCCTTCCTAGGGACTCTTTTTTTCTTCCAACACACAAGAATTCTCCATAGCCTTGTTCATGGTTCACACACAGACCAAACAGAGAGACGATGTGCTTACAGCAGGGGAGGTTATCCTTACTTCTGGGTCAAGCCCAGGCAACAAGCCTTTTTAAAGTCCTAACTCTGGGCCAGCTCCACTACTAAGTGCTAGGGACATAAATACAAGCAAAAAAAGACAGGCCCTGCCTTCAAAGAGCTTACGTTCTAATGGGGAAAAGGGATGGGGTGGAACTTGGCTGATCTGGCCCTTCCTCAGAGTGGAGGTTTGGAGAGGCACTCACCAATGGGAGAAGGGGACCCTGGGAGGGTGGGTCAGGCAGAGAAGGTAGCTGAGTCACCAGGGGCAAAGTTGGGAGAATGAAGGCTGGCTAGACTGGGTCCCTTCTCAAAATGGAGGCTCTGAGAAGAGCTGACCAGTGGGAGAAGGAGGCCCCAGCACTGTGGGGAGAAGACAGCAGAGCACTAGTGGCAGAGTGTGGAGAGTAGAAAAACAAACAAAACCCAAGCTTTTATTAAGCGCCTGCTGTGTGCCAGGCACTGTGCTAAGCCTCTACAACTATATTATCTCATGTGATCCTCACAGCAGTCCTGGGAAGTAGCTGCCCAGTGAAGGACAGCTGGTCTTGGGCTTTCCTGTTAGCAAAGGCTGATCCCAGGGTTGACGTATGTGAGGGGAAGTTTGGGAGCTTCCAGCCACCTTCACATCATTTTAGGTCACCTTTCTCTACCTGTGTGGGGTTATGCTCAGCGGGATACCCATCTCTTGCCACTGTTTGACAGGAATCCACTATGTTGGGCAGTTGAAAGAGGGCAGCTTTAACCGCTTCCTCGTGGACCAGATCACGGAGGGGCAGCTGGACTGGGCTCCCTTGGACTCCCCCTTTGACGTCGTGGTGCTGGAAGGGCCCAATGGCAGAAGGGAGTTCCCTATGTATGCTGGGGAGAAAGCCTATGTTCAGGGCCTCAAGGAAAAGTTTCCTCATGAAGAAGCCGCCATTGACAAGTACATGAAGATGGTGAAGGTAAGACTGGGCTGACCTGGGAGGCTTCTCTCCACCTGCAGAGACCCAGAAAGGGCCAACATTGACCTACAGGGGGAGGGAAGAGATTGAGGAGGGACAAGAGTTCTGTTCCCAACTGCTTCTCATCAGGACATTGGAGGTTTGTCTGGCACTCCCATGCCAGGGGATTTTCTCCTTTATAAGCACTGGGGGCTCCCATGAAGACAAAGACATGATCTGGCAGAGGTGGGCAGTTAAGTGTTAGCACCTAACAAGTCACTTCTTCCACAGACTGCCTAGTGATTGAAATCTGGCCTGTGTCATTGGGGCCTCAGCTCTTTGGGCTGGCAGGGGCAGGGATGCAGTAACTTCTTTCTCCCTCGGTTCCTTTCTTTCCCCAGGAGGTAGCAAAAGGATCCTCTCATATGGCCCTGTTGAAGATCATCCCTTTGCCTGTGGTGAGGCTGCTGGACAGCTTGGGGGTACTGGCCTTATTCTCCCCTTTCTTGAAAGCAGCCACCCAGAGCTTAGCGGGTGTGCTCAACCAGCTGCCTGCCTCCCAGGAACTCAAAACCGTGCTCAGCTACATCTTTCCCACCTATGGTATGGACCTTGGGCTCTGGGGATACTGCGGGTAAAGGGAGCAGCCAGGGGTGAGGGGTGGGAGAGTGGCCTGCATGGACAGGCTGCTGCTCTCCTGGCTCTCCTTGCTTTGCTGGCAGTGGGGGGAAGAGGAGTTTATGCCTGTGGCCCTCAAGAGCCTGTCACCAAGAGAACTGGTCATTTGTAGGCCACTAGGTGATGCATTGCATAGAGCACTGGACCTTGAGTCAGGACGACCTGAGTTCAAATCCAGCCTCAGACATTTACCAACTGTGTGACCCTGAGCAAGTCACTTAACCTCTGTTTGCCTCAGTTTTCTCAACTATAAAATGGGGATCCTAGTAGCATCACCTCCTAGGGTTGGCTTGAGGAACAGTGACTTCATATTTGTAACTTGCCAAGTACAATGCCTGGCACATAGTTGATGCTGTATAATTCTGTCTTCATGATTATTCTTGTCACTCTACCAGCTTAAATGGGCCAGCATGGATTAGATTACAAATCCATTGGCTTGGACAGAACACTAGATGTCACCAGAGGAGCTGGGTTCCGGTCCTGGCTGTATCACTGAGCAGCTGGGTGACCAATAAGCACTCAGTTCACCTGTGAGCCTCAGTTTCCCTAATTGAAATAATACGCATACTACCAACCTATTAAATTTGTTCAGAGATAATAGATGTGAGGTGCTTTTTAAGTCACAAAACTCTACACATGTGAGCCATTCTTTTTTACTCTGTTGATGTCATAAAGATCCTTGCTAATGCTTCTTCATCATGTCAAAGAATTTGGGTTCTACTGTCACATCCACCACTTGGATTCAAGGCCTCATCATCTCTCACCCAGACTATTGTTGTGACCTTTGCTTTCCCTGCCTCAAGTCTATACACTTACCATCTTGTTGCTAAAATGCATCTGACCACATCACGGCCTGACTCAAGAGACTCTGAAGTTCCTCCTCGTGGCTGGGATCAAACAGAGATTTCACAACCTGTCTCTAACCTACGTATCTAGCCAGCCTTATTAGCTATGTATTAGTTATTCCACTTCCTTGGCACTCTGCAATATAGCCGAGCCAGACTTCTTGTTGTTCTCATCTTTTCTCTAGCTGTCAGCCATGCTTGGAATGTGTTCTCCTCAGCTGTGTTTCATAGAATCCCTCACATCCTTCAAACCTTACACCAAGCACCACCTTTCCATGAAGCTTTTCCCAATCTCCCCAGCTCCTAGTGCCCTCCTTCCCCCACATCCTTAGCATCCATTTCACATGATGGACTCCATGTGTGCATTTCTGTGTAAACATCTCCACCAACAGAAGATAGTAGGTACATTTTCTTTTTTGTCTTTGTAGCCCCACTGCCTAGCAGAGGGCCTGGCATATGATGTTTAGTAAAAAAAAATGTTGACTGATTGACCCTTTGCAGACGTAAAATCATACTATTGTTCATGATCCACATACTTACCTTCTTTGTGAGGTGATTCTAGCACAGAATTGGTCATCCTTTACCAAGCCAGACTACAGATAAATAACTCCAATGTTCATTTCATTTTCATTTTTCATTACCATTTCTTAGCAATATTCCACTGTAATTTATATGGAAACACATTTGGCTAGAAGCATTTGAGGTTCTGTTGCCAACTGATGCTGTGTTCACTAGGTGGTTGGCCAGGCAGCCACTTGTATTTTCTCCTTGAAATATAACTTCTGAGCCCAATTTCGTGTTATGAATGTTTTGCTTTTTGTTGCAGAACCCCAATGATTTAGTAGAATCACAGCATTTTATATGTGGAAGAGATCTCAGAAATAATATCTAAGATTCATTCCATTTTTAGTACTAGCCTCATTGTATTGCTGGGGGGGCTTCAAATGAGGTAATATATGTAAAGGGCTTTGTAAACTTGAAAAGGCCATGTAAATGTCAGAGACCATTTTTATAGTTAATGCTGGTTGAATCTTTGCCAGGTCTCTAGAATTTGCCCTCAGACCATTAATTCTTCCGAATTGTTGGGTTTGACACTTGTGTGAAGTCCCAACAGTTACTGACTTAATAGCTGAGTCTTCCTATAATTCTTTTACCTTTAAGTACTTAAATACTATGTCATTGCGCATATCACTAAATGGGAGTTGCCTCAAAGTGAGACCTGGGAAAGAGCTTGGCTTAAAAAGGCCAAGTCCCCCACTGCGTTCAGGCCATCTCTAGTAGTCCTGATCTGATCTATGTCTTGCCACTGGACCCAGATGGCTCTGGAGGAGAGAGTGAAGCTGCTTACAAGTCATGACATCACCTTCCTGATGTCAAGGTCCTCTTTGAAACCGAAGGACAAACGACGAGTGAATGAGTGTCACTCTACCCCTGGAGCTCTCGCTGTACGGCGAGGTGTGGCTGTCATCTTGAGATGTGACATTCCAGTCTTGGGGGAGAACTCTCCCATTGCCCCAGAGACTGTTGAAGTTCCCAGGTTTCGTTGTTCATAAGGTTCCTTGGTAGATTAGGGATTGGGGAAGATTCTGGTCCTGGAGGTAAATTTAGGAAGCTCGTTTTGGAAGGGATTGTCGTCCTGGCCTGTAAGGTGTGAGTGCCAAGCCTAAAACACTTACCTGGCTTTTCTCCCACAGGTGTTCCCCCAGAGAATGCCAGTTTCTCTATGCATGCCATACTCATCAAACATTACTTTCATGGAGGCTTTTACCCTCGGGGAGGCGCCAGTGAAATCCCTTTTCACCTTATCCCAGTGATTCAGCGGGCTGGGGGTGCAGTCCTTTCTAGGGCAACAGTGGAGAGTGTGCTGCTGGACTCTGCTGGAAGAGCCTGTGGTGAGAGCTGGGGGTCCCATCAGAAGATAGGGATGGGGGGTGGGACAGGCTCAGAAAAGTGAGACAAGGAAGGAGGATTGGGTAGAGGCTCGAAGGTGCAGGTGATGGGCTCCAGAGCCAGCTGCCACGCAGGGACTGAATGCTCAGATCTGCAGCCAGGGTCTGGGGTGAGGAGTGTGGCTTTGATGTGACCCATCAGAGAGCAGGGCTCCACCAAATCCTTCATTGGTGAAATAGTTATAGAAGGTTTCCTATGTGCTAAGACACTCTGCTGAGGTTGGTGGAGGCTACAGCGGTGAATAAAGCATGGTACCTGCCTTCAGGGAGCAGAGAACCACCTTCAGAAATAGTTATGTAATCAGCACACATTTTTAAAGTACCTGCTTCGTGCCAGGCTCTAGGAATGCAATGAAACAACAACAAAAAATGCCCTTACCCTCAGAAAAATTACATGCTGTCAGAGATTCCATGTACTTTGAAAAAGGGCATGCAAGGTAATAACTTTCTGTGAGGGGAAGGGTGAGCTGCTGGGGCATTGACATCAGGGAAGGGCTTCATGTAGGGAGTGGCGCTAGAGTAGAATCTGAAGGAAGCCAAGGAAGCCCAGAGGCTAAGTGGAGGTGGGAGTACTTTCCAGGCAGGAGACACAGCCTTGTCCAGGTTAGGTGGAGGGATGTGGGTGGTTGGGTGTGAGGTCCATCTATCAGGGTGGGCCATAGGCTGCAGAAAGGGGAATAAGGCATAAGACGCTGAGATAGCCGCAGGAGAGCACATGTAAAGGCTGAAAAAGCTAAAAAGAGGACAATAGATTTTATCCTAGGGGCATTAGGAGCCCCTGGAGTTCATTGAGCAGGGAAGCAACGTGATTAGGCCTGCCCCTTAGGGAATTACTTTGGCAGCTGTGTTGAGCTTGGATTTGAGATGGGGAGACCAGTTGGCAGGTTGTTTCAGTGGTCCAGACCAGAAGTGGTGAGGGTCTAAGATAGGGTGGTGGCCATTTGAATTGAGAGAAGAAGGTGGATATCAGAAATATTGTGGAGGTGGACATGACAGTATTTAGCACCTGATGGCTTATTTGTTGTGAGAGAGAGAGTGAGGAATCATTGATAATGCCAAGGCTGTGACATGAGACACAAATATTGGTAATAGGCACCAGTAATTGTAAGTTGTAGCCGTAACATAAACTAGAATATGATAGGCATCATTAGACAGGGACAGACCAAATACTAGGGGAGTTCTAAGGACAGGAACAGATTGCTTTGGTAGAAAAGTTTTCATAGGCTAGGTAGCATTTTTAGTATGAGTGAAATTGAGGCAGAAATGGTGGGGGTAATGCCAGGAAATAGCTTGAGGAGAAGGAGGATGACTAGAGAATGGGGAGTTGGGGCTCCTGAAGAAAACATCACCTGCCATCTAATTCTGCTAAGTCTTCTCCCCGCTTAGGAGAGAGGGTGGGCCTTTGGAAGATGTAGCATGAAGGATCAGGCCTTTGTGCTCTGCAGGGCCGATGTGTGCCTTCCCAGACCTCATCCAGTCTCCTCTGTTCTGCAGGTGTCAGCGTCAAAAAGGGCCATGACCTGGTGAACATCTATTCTCCCATCGTGATCTCCAGTGCAGGAATATTTAATACCTATGAGCGCTTGCTGCCTGAGAAGGCCCGCTGCTTACCAGGTAAAAGCCGCTCATCCAGGCTTCCAGCCTGGCTCAGCCTGTTCTGCAGGCCCCCTTAGGGAGGATGGGACGCTGCTTCCTTCACACCCTCTGCCCAGGCCAGGCCTGGGGTTTGGGTGGCAGCTTCCTTTGCCTTGGTCCGTGAATCCCAGCCATCCTCCATTTTTCTGATCCTTCTTGTCCCCTTCTTGGGACATGGACTCCTCCTTCTGTCCATCCCTCCCTTTTCTCTTGGATGTCCATCTGCTGGTCACTAGCACTTTTATAGCATGTTGTGGTTTCCACAGCACTTGGGGGGGCCCAAGACGTCACATCCTGTGACTTGAGGGATGTGTCACTTGGTTTGCTGAACCATTTTCTTTTTCAGTCTTTGCCATAAGGGAAAGTTCGCTGAAGAGGGGAGGGGGAGGGGGAGGGGCGTGTTTGGAAATGGCCCTGATGTCAAAATGAAAGGCGACAAGTAAGTGAAAGGTTCACCTGGATGAGACCCATCGCTGTGGTGAAAAGGAGGGAGGCTCGACGTCAGGTGCTGTGGAGAAGGAAAAGATAAAACTGATTTAATTTTAAAAATGCTGTTTGTTCTTTTGTTTCATATCACCTTCACTTCCAAGTAGATTCCTCTCCCCTCCTCAGGGAGCTCTTGTAACAAAAATCTTTCAAAGAGAAAAAAGCATTTCAGCAAAGCCAATCAATAAGCATTTCACTCAGTGTTTACTATGTGCACGGCGCCGGGCTCGGCCCTGAAGACACACAGGCAAAACCCAGCTTCCACTCCCAGGGTTCTCCCAGCCTAATGGAGGAGTCAGCATGTGCGTAGTGATGTGCAAACAGGAAAACTTAGAGATGGTGTCAGAGGGGAGGTGCAAAGACAGAGGATTAGGAGAAGCTCTCACAGAAGGTCAGACTTTAGCTGAGATTTGCAAGTAGCCAGGGAAGCTAAGAGGCAGAGATGGGGGAGGAGGACATTCCAAGGATGGGGGGTGGGGAGGTAGGGCACACAGTAAATGGATAGGCTTGTTTGAGGAGCAGCCCTGAAGGCAGCAGATGGAACAGTATTTGGAGGATAGTTAGTATAAGACAATTGGAAGGGTGAAAAGGGGTCAAGATGTGAGGGGTTTTCAAAGCCAAACAGGATTTTATATTTGATCCTACACATAAGAAGGAGCATTTTTGGAATGGGAGTGGCCTGGGCTGACCTGCACTTTAGGAAGGTCAGTTTGACCCAGGAGATGGTGATGGACTAGAGGGGTCAGAGAGTTGAGGCAGGGAGACTACTGGCAAGCATTGCCATCTTTCAGGCATGAGAGGGTGCACCACGGTGTTGGCAGTGTCAGAGGAAAGGAGAGGAATCTGCAGAGATGTGATGGAGTAAAATGGACTAAAATGGGAGAAGAGGAGATCAGAGAGTGACAAGTCGAGGGTGACGTCTAGGTCATTAATGTGGGTGACTGGGGAATAGGGGTGCCCTTGGCAGTAAGTGGGGCAGTTCAGAAGGAGGGAAGTGTAGGGGGAAAGATAGGCTTTCAGTTCTGGACGGTGCTGCAGATGGTGACTGCAATAACCTCTTCTGTCCTACCCGATCTCAGATTGCAGATGTCTTAGGCCATGGCTTTTATGGTTGGAACCTTTCTAGGATTTTTGTCTTGGGCTTGCAAATTTATGGGAATTCCTCTAATATTCTTCTTCCTATGTTGTACCTATTCTTTTTGCTACTTAGCTTGGTAGATAAACAGGAAATTTATTTTCTCTGTCTTCCTTTTTGGTTTAGGGCAGGGGAGGGGAATGAGCATCTGTTAAGCTCTATTGTGCTAAGGGATTTACAAATATTATCCGATTTGATCCTCACAACAACCCTGGGAGGTAGACGCTACTATTGTCCTCATTTTACAGATGAGGAAACTGAGGCAGTGGTTAAGTGACTTGTCCAGGGCCCAGGACCACTCAGCATGAAGTGTCTAAGCCGAGATTTGAACTTAAGTCTTCCTGAGTTCAGGCCTAGCACTCTATCCACTGCATGCAGCACCTAGCTACCCAGCTCTTATGAGGTGTCCTCTATCTCTGGCCAGGAGCACATCATTCCTATATTTTAAGCCGGGATCCAGATATCCAAATTTAGATTTCAGGCACCAGTTTCTTAAGCTGTTCACTTCCTAAACTTGTCTCTCTCTTCTAAGACTCTTCTCTACAGTCAGCAGCAGCGATGAAAACATCTGGGCCACTTAGCCTTCAATTTCTTAACAGAATGAATTAAAGAAAAAGCTTTTATTAAGTATTATGTAGTGCCGTCAAATAGAAGTGAAGACAGTCTTTGCTCTCAAGGAGTTCACACTCTAATTGGGAGTACAACACAAATGAGTTTAGGTGCAGGTTGATAGCAAGGCCCAAGGGTTTTGGGGGCTCTGGGCAGGTCGGATGACAGCACCCACAGGAATGGAAGGAGCAGCAGCAGGGCAGATGGTCAGCCCTGGGGGACTGGAGCAGATAGTGAGGCCAAGGAGTTCTCCACTCACTGGAATGGTCATAGGTGGTGGGACCTAACTCATCTAAGTAGCGTGAGCAGCTACTTGGATCTTCCTACCAGGCCAGCCAGATGGGGTGAGGGAAGGGAAGAAGGGAGAGAGCGCTGCCCCCCAGTGGTGGCTGGCCCTGTGGCCCAAGACTTCATAACCTTGGCAGTGCTTTCTAGATCCTTTCCGTCAGTGATCATTCATCTTTACCTTTGTCTTCACCATTCACAAGTGTGTGGTAGTTAGTGAGGTTGGGCAAGTCTGAGAGGTTCTTCATCATCTATTGGATACTTGCCATGGAAAGACCTCTGGATTAGTAATATCTGGTTGACAAACAGCTTTGTCTCTACCCCTTAGGGAGTCGCCATGTGCTGCTGATAGCATAGCAGAGGTGGGAAACCTGTGGCCTCGAGGCCGCATGTAGCCTTCTAGGTCTTTGAGTGTGGCCTTTTGACTGAGTCCAAGTTTTACAGAACAAATCCTTTTATTAAGGGGATTTGTTCTGTGAAGTTTGGATTCAGTCAAAGGGCCATACTTGAGGACCTAGAGGGCCACATGTGGCCTTGAGGGCTCAGGTTCCCCACCCCTGGCATATACCATCCATGTTGTTATGGCTTAGAGGACAAGTTCTGTGTCTTTGGGAAGAGCCTCATATCTGTTGTTTAGTTTGAAGTGTCCTCTGCATTCTTCTACCCTCTCACCTCTGGACACAGGTCAAGATTTCCCTCTGGCACTTCAGATCCTTTCTCAAGTCCCCTGATCTTTAATCAATGAAATATTTTAGATAGAAGGCCTAGCATTCTGATCCACTCACAAGAAGAAGTGAGGGTGTGCAGCACACTGTCCTAGGGTAAAATGGGTAAGTTTCAACCACCAGGCAGGCTTCTCTGAGGTCAGGACTTTAACCAACCCCATCTGTAGGCATACATACACCAGTCTATCTCTGGGTCCTCAGATCACTGGTCTTTTTGACAGGTATACAGACCCAGCTGGGCATGGTGCAGCACGGCTCCTCTATACTTTCTATCTTCATCTGCCTCCAGGGCTCCAAGAGTGACCTGGGTCTGGAAGCCAAGAACCATTACATCTACTTTGACACAGATGTAGACAAGGCGTAAGACCTAAAGGAGGGGAGTGGGGGTAGGGGGTGGCCCTTGATCCATCCTCCTCTTTCCTAAAAGCTGGGCAGGAAAGGGGTCCCAAGCGGATTCAGAGCCTGGGGTCTCCACAACCAGTTGCTCACTCTTCCTCTTTGAGGTCAGGGCTCCTTCTAGAAGCTCCTGTATCTTTTTTTCCCTTCTATTCCCTGAGGCATCTTCCTCTTTCCCTAGCTGCCAGGATCAGCTGTTGGTCTGACCTGTTTAAGTTGTCTCTGGCAGTATTTTTGGATCCAAGGAATCTGTCCAGCTCACCTTCTACTAAACTGTACTGTTTGGGGAGAATGATTCCTGTCCCCTTCTTGTGAGAGGGTTCAGACGCCACCTCAGAGGCTCCATTGATTCAAACTGTAGAGGAACCAGCCATGTGGCTCATCTCTTCTCTCCTCCCCACAGGATGGAGAGATACCTGTCCCTGTCCAGGGACCAAGCTATGGAACACATTCCATTTTTCTACATCACATCGGCATCAGCCAAAGACCCAACATGGGAGGACAGGTTCCCAGGTGGGAGAGAGGCCACAGAAAAGGGGAAGGGAAGAGGGTAGGATAGGCCCAGCACCAGGTATAGTGACCAGAACTCTGTCTCCTCAGACAAATCAACACTAATTATGATGTTGCCTGCCCGCTACGAGTGGTTTGAGGAATGGCAGGATGAGCCCCAGGGCAAGAGAGGGAGTGACTACAAGGCCCTGAAGAACTCCTTCGTAGATGCTTCCATGAGTGTTTTGATGAAACTTTATCCTCAGTTGGAGGGGAAGGTACAGGAGTGAGTGGGAAGAGGGAAAAGAGGGTAGGTCATGTAAGTGAGTGATAGAGAGGGAGCTGAACCTTCACCATCTCTCTCCTCGTCTTGGTACGACAGAGGGGTCCTAAAGGAATGTCACACTGGGGGTGAGGGGAATATAGCCATGCTATTGCCCTGACTCACCTTGGAGTCGTGCAGACTGGAGAGAATGAAAAGAGAACAAAGATGCTGCAGTCTGAGGGCACTACTGGATTTCCTCACCTCCTCAGGTGGAGAGTGTTTCAGTAGGGTCCCCACTGAGCAATCGGTACTTCCTGGCTGCCCCTCGTGGAGAGCTCTATGGGGCTGACCATAACTTAAGCCGCCTACAACCTCGTGTAATAGCTGCAATGCGGACCCAGACCCCCATCCCCAATCTCTACCTAACAGGTATGTTTTCTTACTCTGCAAAGATTTCTGCTGTCCCTAAGTCCCCTCCCATAACTCCATCCTCCCATGTGCCCCTAAACCTAACTCCCTTCATCTCTACCCAGGCCTTGCCTTTAACGTAAGTAATAATCATATGTGAGCAGTAAGTGACATATGGAATCCCAGGGAAATCAGGCGAGTGATGGGGAGAAGGAACAAGTCATGTGTGGTGTCTCTAGACAGTCCCCTTGGATTTCCAAGATTGGTCTGAGTAAAGTGACTCCTTAGCACTTGAGTCCCACTTCCATCTTTAGCAAGTAGCCATTTTGTGCTGACCTCATTAATGTCCCCAGAAGAGAAGAGAAAAAGATGTCTATCACAGACCAGAACCCAGGTCCTTCTTCTGAGCATTGGTGCTAGGCGAACAGATGTAGCAGTATGTTGCCACTTGGCACAGGATTCAGCTTCATGGAATTCTGGAACTTAAGTTGGGAGGGACGTGAGTGGACATCTTGTCCACGTTCTACATGAAAAGAATCCCCATTACAACATGCCCACAAGTGATTGTTCATTCTCTCAGTGAAGATTTGGGGAGAACCTCCAATCCAACCCATTCCAATCCAATAAACATTTATTTAGCACCTACTACATGCCAGGCACTGTGCTAAGCACTGTGAATACAATCCATAAAAAGACAGTCCCTGCCCTCAATGAGCTCACACTCTACAGGGGTAGACAACATGCAGAAGGAGGCAGCAAAGGCAGGGGGGAGACCAAAGGGTGCCCAGTGCGGGGAGCACCTTGTTCTGTAAAGTTGACACCAGGTAGGGCAGCAGATGCAAAGTGGAATGAACTGCGAGTCCAGTTTCTGCCTTCCAGTCAGAGGGGAGAGGAGGCTGAGGGCTGTGGTGTCCGTCAAGGCTGGAGTTAGCAGCTTGGTGATGGGATTAGAAGTGATGAACTTAACCTGGGAGGGGCAGCTTGTTCCAGGTAGATGCACCCCCACCACCTTTGGATAGCTCTTGTTGTTAGGAAGGTGCATCTGACATGACTCCCATGACCCTGCTTTTGCTTTTGCCTTCCAGGGCAGGATGTGCTCACTTGTGGATTTTTGGGGGCCCTCTATGGGGCCATATTGTGCAGCAGTGCCATCCTACAGAGGAATTTGTACCAGGATGTCCGGAGGCTCCGATCCCGGGTCTCAGCTTCCCTGCCCAAGAAGAGGAATTAGCACAGTCCAAGTGGACCCTCTGTGGCAAGGGAGTCCTTGGTCCCAAGTGAACCTGAGAGAGTAGGGAAGATTCCAGGACCCTTGACTTATATAACCTGTAATGTAACCTACTACCCACTACACTGTGCCTTGTGGAAAGGAGTAGCCACTCAATAAATAATAATCATTTTCACAGTAATTGTTGGCTTGATTTCCAATGTACATCCCAAGTGAAGTTCTTTTATTTTAGGCCATGGTTCTCAGAGTCAGGTCCCTGAAGCTCTGCTAAGCTGTGTTTGGGGAGTGGTGTTGCTAGCCCTACTTCTTTAACATGGATCTTTGGGATTAGGTACACAATGTGTAGTAGTAAATGACCGTATGACCTAATGTTTGATAAACCTAAAAATTCAAACTTTTGGATATAAGAACCCACTATTTGACAAAAATTGTTGGGAAAACTGGAAAGCAGTTTGGCAAAACTAGGCATAGACCAACATCTCACACCATATATCAAGATAAGATGAGGTCAGAATGGATACATGAGAAGCAATAATGTTTGTAGCTGCAAAGGAACAAGTGCCCTTGCTGGATAAGAGCCAGAGCACAGACCAGGAGAGTAGTGACCATACCTTTCTCCATATCACAACAGCTTGGAGGTACTGAAAATTGCCAAACCCCCAGAATGAGATCTGAAAACAGCAGCATGAAAAAGCATGAAGCTCGGGATGGTGCTTCCCCTCACCACCCCAGGTGAACAGAGCCCAACTTTAACATAAATTTGAAGTCAAGAAATAGCCTGGAAAAATCAGCAAACAACAATAAGTTGTGATGAGAAGGAAGGAAGATTAAGGGAGGCAATGGTCAGAAGTAAAATATTTTTAAAGATGGATTGGGTAAAAAAGAGAGAGAGAGAAGGATAAACCGAAGAAAAGAGGATGGAGAAAAATGCAGTTAGTAATCATAACTATGAATGTGAGTGGGATGAACTCACTCATAAAATGGAAGAAGATAGCAGACTGGATTAGAAACTGGAATCCCACAATATGTTGTTTACAAGAAACACTCAATAGGCAGTTTTCAGGTGAAGAAATTAAAGCCATCTATTACCATGAAAAAATGCTCTAATCTCTGTTGATTAGAGAAATGCAAATCAAAACAATTCTGAGGTACCACATTACACCTGTCAGATTGGCCCACGTGACAAAACAGGAAAATGTGGGAAAATTGGAACACTAATGTGTTGCTGGTGGAGTTGTGAAATGATCCAACCATTTTGGAGATCAATTTGGAAACTGCCCAAAGGGCTATAAAAATGTGCATACCCTTTGACCCAGCAATAGCACTTCTAGGGCTGTATCTCAAAGAGATCATACAAATGGGAAAAGGACCTTCACAAAAATATTTATAGCAGCTCTTTTTATGGTGGCCAAGAATTGGAAATTGAGAGGATGCCCATCAATATTGTGCTATAAGAAATGATGAGCAAACAGACTTCAGAAAAACCTGGAAAGACTTGTATGGACTGATGCTGAGTGAAGTGAGCAGAACCAGGAGACCGATGTACATAGTAACAGTCATGTTGTGCAATGAATGACATTAATAGACTTAGCCCTTCTCAGCAATGCAAAGATCTAAGACATCTCCAAAGGTCTCATGATGGAAAATGCAATCCACATCCAAAGAAAGAACTATGGAGTTTGAATGCAGGTCAAAGCATAGTATTTGCTATTTTTTTTCTTCTGTTTTGTTTTCTCTTTCTGGTGGTTCCTCCTATTGGTCCTAATTCTTCCTTACAACATCACTAATGTCAGAATATGTTTAATAGGAATGTATATGTATAGCCTATATCAGATTACATGCCATCTTGGGGAGGGAGTGGGAGAAAAATTTAAAACTCAAAAGCTTATGGAAGTGACTTGATAAATCAAAATAATAGGGGAAAAAAAGGAAACACTCAAAATGGAAAGACACATGCAGAGTTAAAATAAGGGACTGGAGCAGAACTCTTATGCTTCAGGTAAAGTAAAAAAGGCAGGGGTAGCAATCATAAACTCAGAAAAGGCAAAAGCAAAAATAGATAATTAAAAATATAATCAGGGAAACTATTTTGCTAAAAGACACCTTTGATAATACATATGTGCAGTAAATGGCAGAGCACCAAGATTCTTAAAGGAAAAGTTAAATGAGTTACAGGAGGAAATAGCAGAGCTATATGGTGGGGCACCTCAATTTTCTCCTTTCAGAGCTAGATAAATCTAACCACAAAATAAAGTTAAGGAGAAGAATGGAATTTTAGTTAAGTTAGATATGATAGACTCTGGAGAAAATTGAATGGGAATAGAAAGAAGTATACCTTTTTCCCAGCTGTATATGGCACTTTCGTAAAAACTGACCATGTATTAGGACATAAAAACTTCACAAATACAGAAAAGCAGAAATATTAGATGCACCCTTTTCATACCATAATGCAATAAAAATTACATTCAACAAGGGGCCTTGGAAGCAGAGATTAAAAATTAATTAGAAACTAAATGATCCTAAAGAATGAGTAGATCAAAGAACAGATTATAGAGTAATTTCATTAAAGATAATGACAACAATGAGACAACATACAAAAATTTGTGGATGCAGCCAAAGTAGTACTTAGGGGAAAATTAATGTCTCTAGACAAATACATCAGTAACAGCAGGTCAATAAATTGGGCATGCAACTAAAAAAAAATGAAGAAAACCAAATTACCAGTATCAAAAACGAAAAAAAGCAAATGCACCGCTAATGAAGGTGAAATTAAAGTAATTATTAGGAGCTCATTTTCCCCACTTATATGCCAGTGAAACTGATAGTCTAAGTGAAATGGGTGAATATTTACAAAAAACATAAATTTCACAGACTAACAGCAGAAGAAATAGAATACTTAAATAACTATATTTTTTAAAAAAAGACATCAAACAAACCATAAATGAACTCCTTGAGAAAAAACCCCGACCAGACGAATTTACAAGTGAATTCTACCAAATATATAAGTACCAATTCCAATGCTATATAAACGATTAGAAAAAATAGGTGAAGAAGGAATCCTACCAAATTCCTTTTATAACACAAATATGGTTTTGATAATCAGGGAGAGCAAGAACAGAAAGAAAACTCTAGGCCAATTTCCTGAACGAATATTGATGCAAAAATTTTAAATAAATTCTGTCAAGGAGATTATAGTAATATATCACAAAAATCATACACTATGACCAGGTAGGATTTATCACAGGACTGCAGGGCTAGTTCAATATTAGGAAAACTGTCAGCATGATTGGCCATGTCAATAACAAAAACAACTAAAGTCGTATGATTATATCAATAGATGCAGAAAAAACTTTTAGCAAAATATACCTATCTCTATTAAAAGCACTAGAAGCTATAGGAATAAGTGGAGCTTTTGTTAAAATGATAAGCAGTATCTATCTAAAACCATGAGCAAGCATCATCTGTAATGGTGATAAATTAGAAGCCTTCCCAATAAAATCAGGGTGAAGCAAGGATGGTCATTATCGCCAGTATTATTCAACAATCGAAATGCTGGCTATAGCAATACGACATGAAAAAGAAATTGAAGGAATAAGAATAAGGAACAAGGAAACAAAACTATCACACATTCCAGGTGATATGATGGTGTACTTAGAGAATCCTAGAGAATCAATTGAAAACTAGTAGAAACAACTTCCAAATTCAGCAGTTACAGGATAGAAAATAAACTTGCATAAATCATCAGTATTTCTATACATCACCAACAAAACCTATCAGGAAGGGATAGAGAAATTCCATTTAAAATCACTGCAGACAGTATAAAATACTTGGGAATTTACCTGCCATGACACACACGGGAACTATATGAACAGAATTACAAAACACTTCACATAAAGATATCTAAACAACTGGAAAAATAATAATTGCTTATGGGTGGGCCAAGCCAATATAATAAAAATGACAACTCAACCTAAGTTAATTTACTTATTCAGTGTCATACCAGTCAAACTACCAAAGAGTTATTTTATAGGGATAAAAACAAAAACAAAATTCATCTGGAAGAACCAAAGGTTAAGAATATCAAGGGAATCAATTTTAAAAAATATGAAGGAAGGTAGCCTAGCAGTACAAGATTTCAAACTATTTCACAAAGTGGTAATCATGAAAATAATTTGGTACTGGCTGAGAAATAGAGTGGTGGATTGTGGAATGGATTAGATACACAAGACATAATGGTAAATGACCAGAGTAACCCAGTGCTTGATAAACCCAAAGATCCAAACCCTGTTCCCTTGAGACCATAAGTGTTCCTTTCTGCTCTGTAAAAGGGACCCAGAAATGGGCATAGGCGATGAATTGCCAGAGTCTGGTCCTGTGCCCAGTACTAGTTCAAGGTTGCCCTGTAATCTCTTTCTGGCCAGTTGCCTGATCCCCTTCTCTTGCTTGAAAGCTCCCAAGCCTCTGTCTCAGTTGTCTCCAAGGCCCACAACTGGTATTACCACCATGTGGGCTGTGGCCAGCCCTCACCCCCATGTCACAGACCTCTCCTTCCAACTCCTCAGTTGCTTTGGACTAGAAAAATGGCTCACCCTGACCAATTGTTGGCTCTGCTGCTCCAGAATATGATTTGAGGTATAATTTTAAAGTTTTTTGGAAGAGAATGTTGAGAACTCAACCGGGAATGCTACCTCTGCTCTGCCATCTTGGCTGTCCTCCAAACCATCTTTCAAACACCTGTGAAATTAGCACTGCTAATGCCAGGCCTGACCATTTCATTCACTGTGGCCAAGAAGCCCCAGGGGCTGTCCTGCCTCTAGTACCAAACAGTGCCGGGTGCATATTAAGCCCTTAATTAATTATCAATTAATGCTTGTTGACTTGACTGACTTCTAAGGCCCTCTGCACACAGGTTTCAGCCCACCTTCCCAAGTTCAGAGCACTTTACTCTCCTTGATGCACATTATGCTCCGATGCACCTGACCTTCTTTTTGTTCCCAGCACAAATAATTCCATCTCCCTTCTGCCTTTGTACAGGCTGTCCCTCATGCCTACTGTAAACTCCCTTCTGCCCTCTGCCTCATGGAACTCCTTCAGGGCTCAGCTCAGGTGACATGTCCCACAAGATGCCTAGGCTGATTACCCTCTTCCCCCTGAAGACTTCTCCCCACCACAATTACTTTG